TGAGAAGTACCAGCTACCTAAGGTTTGGACCCGATATTGCCAATTGACCATCCCTAAAGCACATATTCTCATATATGGTCCACTGGCGCCGAACTATGCAATTCATTCAAATTATTTATAAAAATGTGTTATGCACGTTGGGCGCCAATTACGGCTTCCAGTAGTTAGTCAGATATCGGGTCTTTTTGCAATTCTCCAAATTATTCTTTAGAATGGGGACCCCATATTGGGCGCCATTTTGTCAATTAACTCTGGCAACCATCCTAGCTTGGAATTCATTTGCCGTTTCAATTTTTAACCAAACCACATTGGGCGCCATTTTGTCACCTAGCTCTGAATTCCAAGCTAGGATGGTTAGCTTGAAATTCGAGTTCGGTTGCCAACATTACAACTTACCACTTTCACTAGCTCGGGTCCCTTATTTGCAGTCATTTGTGGCTGCCGATTCGATTTTCAATAAACCATATAGGGCGCCATTTTGTCACCTAGCTTTGAATTCCAAGCTAGGATAGTTACCTTGAATTTCGGATACCACATTGGACACTATATTGCCATCCCCACAACAAGCCACTTTAACCATCTAGGGTCCCTCATTTGCTGTAATTTGCATTTGCCGCTTCGATTTCCAAGTAAACCATGTTAGGCGCCATTTTGTCAACCAGCTCTGGCAACCCTTCTAGCTTGGAATTCGCGTTCCACGTTGGATAGTATATTGGCAACCCTACAAATAGAGACTTCGACTAATCCGGGTCCCCAAATTGTTGTCATTTGTAACTGTCATTTCTATTTTCAATCAAACCATATTGGGCGCCACTTAGCTCTAGCAACCATCTTTGCTTGGAATTCGGATACGACTTTGGACACTATATTGCCATCCCCACAACGAACCACTTTAACCATCTAGGGTCCCTCATATGCTGTAATTTGCATTTGGCGCTTCGATTGGGCGCCATTTTCTCACCTAGCTCTGGCAATCATCCTGACTTGGAATTCGGATCCCACTTAGGACACTATATTTCCAACCCCATAATAACCACTTTGACCAACTAGAGTCCCTCATTTGCTATCATTTGCATCTGCCGTTTCTATTTTAGCCACCTAAGTCTTCTGGCTAATTGAAGAATTACTCTAGGGTCAGTGTTAGAGAACGAAGACAAATCATGTGACACTTGGTCCTCCACCAACCTGTATCTCACATTAATGAGTGCTGGACAACGGCAGAGCAAATGTACGATCGTCTCAATATCTTCTTTCTTCTTTCCAGATTCTGCAGTAATCAATATCATCGCTGTCCCATTTCGAGGTCATTGCCCTCATCTTGTAGTGACCTGTCAGGTTTCGACAGTGACAGTAGCGACTTTGTTCTACTCTCCGAGGGCATGGGCCAGATTCTTTTGGAGATGCTACATCCCCTTTCTTCCAGCCATTTTTTGTTGAATTCTCTTAGAGTAGTGTCTATGAATTACCTGGAAGAAGTGGCACAGAGGTGGTTTTACCGGGCTCTCAACTTCAATGGTAGCTGATTAGGACCCGAGCCTAGCCAATTCGTCCCGTTGCCTAGAATATTGTAATGACCAGGAACCCAACAGAGCTTCATGGACAACCCAGTGTTTTCAAAGGATCTCCTGCAGTCCAAAACTGCCCTAGACTTAATGGTGGAGGAGTTTAAAGCTTCCAGTGCCGCTTGGTTATCGACGTATATAGTCACTGGACCGCTAACCTCGTTGTTCCTTGTGACCAATAGGTCTATGGCTTTTTTTGGCCGCAAAGATTTCCGCCTGGAATACGCTACAGTTGATTCTAAGCTTGCGAACATTAAGAGTGTCAGAAAAGACACCAGCTCCCGTTCCACATTCCGTCTTTGAACCGTCAGTATAAACAGGTATGCCGCAGAAAGATTTGTTGAGGTCCAGATGTCCCTGTCAGGTATTTGTAGATGTCAGGTGAATCAAAGCTCGACCACAACACAACCACCACTTTTTCGAACATTAAAACAACAAAACCTATAAAACAATTGAAATAAATCTCAAATTAAAAATGCGCTACGAAGACGTGTTGCCCAGCTAATGCTAATGCAATCAAAGCCCAGACGAGTCACCCAGTCAGCCATGGATTTAGAGTCTCTTCTAATGAATGAATAAAGGCGGTGTATTAAGACACTAAATACTGTTTGCTCTCCAAGCTGCGGCCACATGATTGTTTGCATAAACAGTTATTTGCTTCAGAGCCAATGATTCAATTTTTTGAAAATATCACAAGCTGGTCATGTACACCTCGCATAGAATCAACATTGATGTTTTGCAGGCAACGCACAAGGAAAGAAAACCTCTACCCGCACACACAAACACGTAGCGACTTTGTTGGTTAGGCTATAATGATTACAAATCTGAAATGCGGATGACAAGAGCTCGGACATGAACTGAACACCAAACACCACAGGCAAACAACCCACCCTCCTCCGAAACCACCAAAAAAACCAGCCTCAACACATTGTCAAACATCATCTACAAGAAAATAATGCCACCGTTCAAACGTTCATTAGAGCCCAACGGAGATGGAGATGGAGGAAAATCCTATGCTACCCATGGCCATAATCCCGAGTTCCATAGCCGAAATGGTAGCAAGTCGATGTTTAACATTTCTGATGTTGATTTGATTTGCAGCAATCTAAAAAGTCAATAATGCCAACACAACTTTGGAATACAAAACATCCGCTGACGTCGTCGTTGCCTCTCTCTCTCTCTATCACTCTCTGCCCCTCTGCAAGCCACAAAATCAAATACTTAGCGGCAAAGTTTTGTGGCCAGCCGAAAAAGTAAACAGAAATTAAGCTTTAGAAACAGATGTGAAATTAAGAGCTATCGGATTAATGCTAGAAGTTTGCTGGCATATGTTGGTTGGTGTTATTGTTGTTGTTTTTGTGGCGCTATCACGCACTTGAATCTGTCAAGTATTTAAGTCTTATAATCCTAGTAATATTTAACACTCTCTTTGGAGATTTGGAATTTTCTGAGATGTAATGGAGGGGGAGTTTAAATGGCAACTTGATTTACTTCTTCAATTACCTAAAGGCTGTCTATTAAATTAAAGGAAATTAAATGCTTCGAAAAGGGGCTCTATTAGTTTTGTATAAGAGGGTTACTATTTGGGATGCTTAAAGGGGAGATATATAAGAAATATGGCACTTCAGTTTAAGTCATTTCAAAAAAAATGGACCTAGTTCCTTGTAAATAGAACAAAAAAATTAATTTGGAAATAGTTACTTTACATATGACTCTAACATAATGTATAATCAGGCCTTTTGATTTTCAAGAACAATATATTTAAAAAAAAAATTGTATTTATCCCTTTTATTGAAATATCGCTTTTTAGTGATGATCATTTCTATCAAAAACATGTCCATGGAAGGTATTTTCAATAACTTATCATTTCATTTGTATATTTCGTTACGAAATATTTGGTTTTTGGGTTTTATTTCAATGCATTATCGATTTTGAATTACAAATCCCTTATATTTTACTTTGTAATGAAAAATTAAAGCATATTTTGAGGATGATAACACAAAACAATAGCTATTATTACTATTCCCCAATAGATGGCGTATGTCAGATAGGTTGTTCTAGTTCGATGTATATTGTACGCAATTCAACGGCGTTGCTTTTTTGTTGTTTACCGGCTTAAATTAATATCTACATTACTGGCTTCGAATGCAACCTCTGGACTTTATAAGACTGTAAATATTGCAAAAAGTGTTAGGAGGAAGAAAAACAGAAGTCATTTGACAAAAGAATTAATAAACGCGATAATGAAACAATATATATTGCATCTCTAAGACCCTTAATAAATTGCCAAACTTCATTGGTAACACAATTTCTAGTTCATCTCTCTGTTAAAGGTACTTCTAATGACTAAACAGAGTAAGCGGATAAAAAACAAGGTGACGCAAAAGTAATCTTCCTATTTTTTGAATGTAGCTAAAAAATAAATAAAAATGTTGATTCTTCTTGTGGATTATTTTTATTTGGTCTTTTAGTTTTTTACATCGAGTCGAGAACAAGATGTCATGTCATGCCATAGTTTATTGCCACTTGAGCCCTTTTTATGGCATTTTCCATCACTTTGGCCAAAACTTCCGGCAAATGGGGGTCGCATTCTTGACTTTTCTAGCGAAAACAGCGCACCATACAGTGACATTTCAGCGACTGGCACATGGTAGAAGAATACAGGTAGATGCATAAACGCTTGGGAATATTGATATGTCAAAATTGTTTCTTAAAAAATAAGTAGATTTGCATATGTTTCCTATACGACGCCAATCGGAGGTTGTTATTATTTAACAATTTTTACAAGTTCGAATAATTTTTCATTGAAAACATTTGCATTCATCATTCATTATTCGAGCAACTGTGTCAATGCGACTACATCTATTCTTCCACCATGAAATACATGGCAGAAGAATACAGGTAGATGCATCAACGCTTGGGAACATTGATATGTCAAAAAATTTAAATGTTTTTCCAAGTATAAGTAGATTTATATATGTTTTTTTTATACTACGTTATTCGGAATCTATTATAATTCGCGTTTTTCAACAATTATTACAAATTTAAATAATTTTTCATTCAACATTTTCAATTCCAAAATTGGTTTGACAGTTCATTGTCCCAGCAGCTGTGTCGACGCGTCTACCTATATTCTTCTACCATGCATGAAATATATATATAGTTGTTCTTGTTTATTTATATTTTAGTAAATTTGTAGTCATAACCATATACTAATGAATATATAGACGTAGAAACGCTCTCAAAAACAATCAAATGTCTCTTCGAAGTCGAAGCTAACTTTCCAATCTCTATATATTCATTAATATATGGTTCTATTACTCTTTGCAATTTTTTAGGCTAGAGAGAAAATTCTCTCATTACCAGTTACTTTCAATTTTTTAACTGAGAAAGTTATCGTACACACCTAAAATGTTTTTGTACAGAGTACACAGAAAGCACTACGCAACGCCGTCACCAATTGGTTTACACGTGATAAGCCGCCGCCGCTAAAAAATCATTCCGCTTCGTTGTGTGGTTTTATTTATTATTATAGTTTCCATTTAAAGGTATTTAAAGCGTTAATTCATGAAAAATAGCAGAAAATATTAATCAAATATGTTCTATCACTTTCAGAACACTATTTGTGGGCAAAGAAACAATCTGAAGAGATACCCAATAGGACTACAACAAAAACACGTGTCAATTAGCTTTGTTTACCAAAGCAAGCATTGACAACTCCAAACCCTACATTTTTCTAATTTCATTCTAAAGGAGATACCCCAGAAAAGCCTTCATCATGGGTATGGTACAGAAGAGAAAGAAAATGCACTCCGGTGATACCCACCTGCAGCGTCGTTGGCGTGTCCGGAATCGTACCCGAGATTTGGATCAAATCGATCAAGACCTACAGACCCAGTCGGCTGAGCTGATCAATCAGCCTGTTGATTTGGAGAAGCCAGGTTTTGCTCAATTCTATTGTGTCCATTGTGCCAAATACTTTATCGATGACAATGCAATGCAAACACATTTCCGTTCCAAGGTCCACAAACGTCGCCTAAAAGCTTTGGAGGTTGAACCCTATTCAATTGAAGAGTCCGAACGTGCAGCCGGCCATGGTAGCTATCAGAAACCCAAGAAACGCCATATGGAAACACAGCCCAGCAAAGAAGAAGTTAAACTAGGAAAACGCATCAAAGTCGAAACCGTCAATGAGGAAGAAGGTGCCAGCACATCGAAGAAGGCAAAAGTCCAAAAAATGGAAACATAGTAATCAGTCATCGGCGGCAGGGTGGAATAGTTAATTGTTACTTTTCCTATTTTAGTTTAAGTTAATATTTGGAGATTTCTTTGAGTAAATAAATATAGATTTTTATGAAAATATTACCACAATCGAAAGAAAACCAGTAAATTATTGGATAAATTCAAAGGAGTAGTAGATACAGCCACAAAATATGGCTAGGAATTATTCACAATATTCGAAATATCACATAAACCTGAATCTAGGCCTTACACAGAGGTATCTGGTGGATCTTTCTTAACATTTCGCATATTAAGCCGAATAAAAGATAACATGTGCGTATGTATACATGATATGAATTGAATTTCATTTATATATGTCTTCCCCAATCCGCCCCTCCCCCCCCCCTCTTATTTCTATGTCATTCCGCCATAAACAACAGAACATGCGTTTAATTTGCAAGTCACAAAGCCAATGTGAATTCTATAATATGGTATCAAATATTATCTTCAACCTGTTCAGCAAAGCCTTAACTAGAATACACCGATTATAACCGAATTGTTGCTACTATTAACAAACACTTCAAATATGATATACCTATGTATATATTGCAAAGTGTTTTGTATGGTCGTATCGCAAAGTGTCCTGTCAAAAAGTATGGTCGTTTCGCAAAGTGTCTTGTTACAAAGTATGGTTGTATCGCAAAGAGTCTTGTTTTAAAGTATGGTTGTATCGCAAAGGGTCTTGTTTAAAAGTATGGTCGTATCGCAAAAGTGTCTTGTTAAAAAGTATGGTCGTATAGCAAAGTGTCCTGTTAAAAAGTATGGTTGTATCGCAAAAGTGCCTTGTTAAAAAGTATGGTCGTATAGCGAAGTGTCCTGTTAAAAAGTATGGTCGTATCGCAAAAGTGTCTTGTTAAAAAGTATGGTCGTATCGCAAAAATGTCTTGTTAAAAAGTATGGTCGTATAGCAAAGTGACCTGTTAAAAAGTATGGTCGTATTGCAAAAGTGTCTTGTTAAAAAGTATGGTCGTACCGCAAAAGTGTCTTGCTAAAAAGTATGGTCGTATAGCAAAGTGTCCTGTTAAAAAGTATGGTCGTATCGCAAAATTGTCTTGTTAAAAAGTATGGTCGTATCGCAAAGTGACCTGTTAAAAAGTATGGTCGTATCGCAAAAGTGTCTTGTTAAAAAGTATTTTCGTATAGCAAAAGTGTCTTGTTAAAAATTATGGTCGTATCACAAAAGTGTCTTTTTAATAAAAATATGGCATCAAATATTATCTTTAACCTGTTCAGCAAAGCCTTAACTAGAATATACCGATTATAAGCGAATTGATACTACTATTAACAAACACTTCAAATATGATATACTCATGTATGTATTATCATAATATTGCCATTGAATGAAAATAAATAATCACGATTTTTGTTTATAAATATAAACTCTTATATTTTCTTGTTTTCTCACTATTTCTCAATAAGTGTATATAAAATCTCTAAAAATATATAATTTCTATGTATATGTACAAAAAGAGAGTTATTCTATATCATTGTTTTTGTTAATAATTTATCCATAAAAAATGTTCTCGATGATTTATGTACATGACAAATGAAAATGAATGTGAGTATGCGGTGGTGGGAGAATGGGTGATAGATATGTGGCAATGAAATGCTAATGAAAAAATATTAAAATTAAGGAAACATCATCGTATTTATACATCATTTAGATAAGCGTAATTTTAAATAACTAATAACAACAAGAATATTGTTTATAATACAAATAACTTTGGCAAATTGCAAATCATTATCATCAAATTACAAAAACAAGGTAGGTAGGTATGTACAGCAAACAAGTTCTAGGGAGACATGTCACCGATGTTGTGGTTGTTTTTTTATTCATGAGCCACAGAATCACCTACGGCAGCAACCAAACCCATGGTGATGGTGGTGGTGTTGGATTTCTCATGATTATTGTTGTTGTTGTTATGACACTCCTCAAAGAACGGATGCTTGAGAGCCTCTTCGGCGGTAATACGTTTATGTGGATTCACTTCCAATAGCCGATACAGCAAGTCATAGGCACTGGCAGGATAAATATCATCGCCATCAATTGGTTCGGTCACAAAACTCGTCTCCATGCACAAACAGTTGAAATAGAATTGATCGCAGTTCTTGCAAACTTCACAGCTACCATCCGTGGCATTTTGATATTTTTTCAACAACTCCGGCGAACTGTATTTCACACGATTACGAAAACGTACACAAAGTTTGCGTAAATCGAGCGGTTTCGTTTTCTGTGACAGTGTGACCAAACGATCCAAAAGAACTGCAGTTTTACGTATGGCCTTATCTCCGAATATGGTAACCATTTCGGCCAAGGCCACATAGTCATTGGGGGCCTTAAAGAAGGGATAAACGGAGGAGAGTATTGACAGGAAAATGACACCGGAGGCCCATACATCTACGGCTGTGGTTTGATCCGGATATTTGAGTAGGACTTCAGGTGGCCTATAGCCGGGCGTGCCAGCACGCGATGCATGAATTTCTTTTTTCACCAAACAGATGTTACACACCTGAGAAGTGCCATAGCAGAAACATTTCGGACCACTGGCACTAGATAAATTGCGATTTGTGTTGTACTTATTGTCGGAGGCCACACCGCCACCACCACCCCCATTTGAACCTTGAGTTGCTAGACTTTTATTGCCCCCCATTGAAGATGGTGAGCGGTGATTACTGCTGGCGGCCTCAGCACCGCCCTGGGCACGCAATTTTTGCTGTAAACGGCTACTCATTGTTACACTACCCCCAGCGGATTTGCGTGAATTCACGCCTAACTCATTGGTATTATGTGCCGCCGCAACACCTACAGCTGCTGCAGCATGCGGTAAAGCTGATTTTGTGGTTGCTGACCCTACGAGAGTGTTAGGAATCACATTAATTTGTTTTAAGGGCATTTTAAAGGGTGAATTTGTTAATGTACCAGAATTGAGAAGAGGTGCTGGTGCTGCTGTTGCTGCTTTAACGGTCGTCCCCGATTCCATTGTTTGCTGGTAATCAGGACCGGTGCATCGTAAACGCTTGGCATTGCCGCTGACAACTTCACCGGCTCCAGTCACAGCCACTGCAGTACTGCCATCTGATGCCTTTCGAACATGGCTATCATCATTTTCGCGCAATCTCTTGGCTTCACCGGGGGCTGGCATTGCTTGATTTGTGGTTTTGCCCAGCAACACTGGCGAATGCTGGGCCATAGGGAGTTGTGATGACTGCGGCGGTGGTGCCACTTGTTGGGCCAAACCAAAATCAACCAAAAGAAACTGCCGTTTACGACGATTATATAGGAAATTACTGGGCTTCACATCGCGATGTATGACATTGAAGCGATGCACATGCCGCAGGGCAATCAGGAGGTTTTTCATATAGTACTGGACCTCGGCGACATCCATGCGGCTGAAGAAATCATGAAAGCGATCATGGGGCAGGTAGGGCATAATGAATGCCACCGATTCATTATAGCGTATACAGCAATTAATGCCACAGACATTGTCGGTGCCACTGCAAAATAAAAGAAAAGAAAGAAAGAAATGAAAAAACAATTAGAAATTAAATAAACTTGAGTTCTTTATTTTCAAAATCAAGCCAAAAGCAAATACACTTTTCTGTTGTGATATACAATACAGCAAATATACATAAGTATGTATGTGCGTACGGTTTGTATATTTTGCCGGGTTTGTATGTTTAACGTTTTTAATAGTCATGTTGGATTTCTCATAACACACAAAGAGCTGGGAGAATATGCGTCACAGCCATTAAACTTTCGCAGAAATATATCTACACGGGGATATATGTAGGTGAGTGTCATTTGGTGTATATAAATTTAATATATATATTAATAATATTTCAAGTCAGACCAAGACACTGCACCCCACATCCCACACCACACCTTACCATCACGTCCCCTGGCTAATTAAGAGCCATTGACTTTTTACAACACGTGGAGTATTTATTTTGATAAAAAAAGAAAAAAAAAAACATTGACATTTTGTTATTGTTTCTAATTGCAAATAACAATTATTACCTAAGATAAATTACAATAGCATATTGAGAATGTGTTTGGAATGTTTAACAGGGGGCCGACAAGACAGGTTGTGTTTGTTGTAACAATTAACAACAGCTGCCGTTGTGATGAAACGGGATTGGCGATTTCAGATCGGCACATTGGCATGATGGCTTTTGGAAGATAATAATTTATAACCTTGAAAATATTTAAAAATCGAATTAGAAAAAAAAATAATGGAGAGCTATACCAAACATTGCAACAATGTTGCTCGATTTCAGGAGGGAATTTGTATGCCCCCTTATGAAAGCCTAATCACCCTTCAAGTACCAAACATCGAGAGAAATACTGTTAGGGGATCTATAATAAATAAAAAAGACCTCGGCAAGAAATTATCTTTTGAATATTCCTTTGAATAATACAAACTCAAATAATAAAGGCACTTAAACTTGAGTTTTTTTCGAGTCACAGATTCTTGAAGTGTTCTAAACAAGTATATTATTGATAGTTATAACTTCAATATGACCCAGCCCACAAAAACTATTGGAGATCCTTTTTCTTTTCGATTGTATAGCTGCATGTGATGGAGACTATTCCTACTCTTTATACCCTCAGCCATATGAGACCTGATAGAGTATATAGTCGTTGTTAGCATAATGTTCTAGGTAGATTTAACGATGTCCAGATAGAGGTTATAATTTTTATAATAAATTAATTAAATTTGGCACAGATGAGTGTAGATCGGTCCACATTTAGAGACCCCTTTATTTTCGGTATGTTAAAGCTTTTATTCTCAATTTCCAATCATATAAGTTGTTTTTGATACCCTCCACCATAGTATGGAGGGAGGGTTTATTAAGTTTGTCATTCCGTTTGTAACACTTAGAAATATATATTTTAGACCCCACAAAGTATAGATATTATTCATCAGCATAAAATTCTATGTCGATTTAGCGACGGCCGTCCGTCTGTGATAATCACACAAGCTTCCGAACGAAATAAAGTAGGTTGCTAAAATTTTACTCAAATGTATATTATGTCTGCAGGACTTTTGTTATCGAAAAAGGGCCATGTAGGTTGGTATAGCCCCATATAACGGTACCTCCCGATATTCGGTATTATGATGATTTTAGCTACATTATTCACCGGAAATGTTTTAAATTTGGTATTTGAAATTCGTAATGGATATTACAGCCTATGACAGAAAATTGTCTGTGCAGGTCTACGTCTTCGTATAGCCACCATACAACGGTACCTCTCGATATTCGGTATTTTGATGATTTTGGCGACATTATTCACCGGAATTGCTTCAAATTTGGTATTTGAAGTTCGTAATGGATACTACAGTCTATGACAGAAAATTTTCTCTGCAGGTTCACGTCTTCGTAGAGCCCCCATATAACGGTACCTCCCGATATTCGGTACTTTTATGATTTTAGCGACGTTATTCACCGGAATTATTTCAAATTTGGTATTTGAAATTTGCAATGGCCTACGACAGAAAGTTGTCTGTGCTGGTTCACGTCTTCGTATAGCCCCCACATAACATTACCTCCCGATATTCGATATTTTGATGATTTGAGCGACATTTTTCACCGGAATTGCTTCAAATTTGGTATTTGAAATTCGTAATGACAGAAAATTGTATGTGCAGATCCACGTCTTCGTAAAGTCCCCATATAATGGTACCTCCCGATATTCACTATTTTGATGATTTTTCAAGTTTCGCCTTTAAATCTTGTAATGGCTTATGACAAAAGAGACCCATGCAGGTCCACTTCGTCGTATAAACCCTATTTCTAAGATTTTAACAGAAATTTTAACGGATTTTATTATTATTATTATTTTTTTTTTTTTTTGAGAATTGTTAAATTCTTTCCAAATGGTGGAGGGTACTTAAAGTTCAACCCGGCCAAACTTACTGCTTTTTTACTTGTTTGATATTTCAGGCCCGTATTTGAGCAATTTATTCAAAGTAGGTTAACTTTTTTGTAAATTCCACATATAACATATAACAATTTCCAAACAAATCATCTATATTTTGACATTTCGGGTTCTCAGTAATGTCCAATGTAAGTTCATTTTCTGCATAGCCCACATATTCAAATTTCGGTATTTTATATAGTATGAATGTAAAATCAAATCAGTTGTAATTTGAATATTTCGGAATATGATATATAGCCTGCTTTTAGCTCATTTCCTAGCCCAGCATGTCTAATGGCCACTGTCTTCTAAAAAGAAACCATTTCTACATTTCAATCAAATAATAAAAAAGTACCTACGCAAATATAGATATTTCACCGCTTCACAAAAATAACCGTTTTTTCTATGGCAATGTCAACACATTTCACGCGATTCTGTAATAACAATTATCATGTTTATTGTCAGGTATTCCCTACTTGGCTGTGACTGACAGACACACATACACACACACACACTCACATACATAACATAAGATTACAACTAGTGCCGTGTCTGTAGTCAGCCGCCAACGAATCACTCACTCATTGTATAGCAACTAAAATACGATAATTTTTCTGTGACGCAAAAGTCCAAATGTGCTATGACGTGGGTAAAACGACAGCAGCAGTGTTATACACGAATTGCCGTTTTTTTGCATGACGTATAACAACAGTACCAAATTGCCTGTATCTACCAGAAGAGCTGATGCGATTTGATGCCGAATGGTGTTGGTGTTGGTGGTACATGGCAAGGAGGCAATATTTACAACTAAAAATAAAACCAAAAACGTAAAGGAAGCCCACGCTCGGGTTGTGGCCGAATCTGTACTTGCGTTATTGCCGCCTTATTGATTTCTTAGAATTGTGTTTTTGTTTTATTGTCCACACAACCAAAAAGGATATGTGGTGGTGGTGAATGACATGGCAATGACACAGAAAAGAAAAGGAAATTTTAAAAATGCCTAAAACATACTCATCTATTTTTCTACAAAATATCCCAATAATCAATGCAAACATTACCTTGAGATCAAGGTTAGTTTATGCATTAGCCAAGCGTTTAGGTAGACAGATGTAAACAAAAGAGTTTGTAAAGCAGAGTAGCCCGCCATTCGCAAAGACTAGCCGCGAAGAAAATGCATGTGTCTATTTGCCGGCAAGATTTTGTTGGAACCGGCAAAATCATAAAAATGAAATATGCAATGGATGGATGATACATTCATGCGCCCGGCAAAATATCAAAGCTCATGTTTTACTATTTCCCTCATATACAGCTACAACAACGTTCGCTACATTCCACATTCAAGTGACGCCACAACAAACGACTACTGTGGGCTGGCTGGCAGGCTGTTGTGTCACGAAAACAAATACGAAACAAACATCCACACATATGTATATATGTACGCCTAGAATGCCAATTATTTGAGGGTAGTCTTCTAAATTTAGATCTTTCAAGTAAAACGTAAATGAGACCATTATCCAAAACGAAAAAAAATCACACACATACACACAACATATAAGTAGATTGCGTGTGATATTTATCCCCACCATTATATGTACCCACAAATGTACCCACATATATAATTAGATTGTACAAGTGTGCTTAACTCCCAAAAACTAGGTGGTCTTCGGGTACACATTAACTAATTTCAAGAGCGAAAATCTTATCTAAAGTGAAAAAGTATGGCCATAAACTTATCAGTAGGCCAAGAAAAAGCCCATTGTAAAGGCCGTTTCATACCTGGAATTCTATGTTAGAAAATAATATGTTTTCTATTTTGATCAAGATTGGCTCCATGAATATGCGTCAGAACAAAGATTGACTTGAATGTCTCAAAAACTATTTCATTGATACCATATTCCCCTGATTTCAAAAACTTATAAACTTTCTAATGGAGAATTGGGCATTGAAATGAAATATAGAAAATCGAAAATCGTCTCAGAGTTTTATGCGGATAATAACCTATGATATATGTTATGAATCCTAAAATCTTCAATTCATAAAGTAGCAAAAACCATCTTTCATCCCTTCTCAACTCACCCGATCTTGGCCATGCACTGCAGCTCCTTCATAATACGATCTGGATGACTAGTTGGTATGTGATGTTTTATGGCAAACTTTCTTCGCTGATTTTCCGGTAGATTCGCCTCTTTTTTCAGTGTACCCAAGAGTACTGTGCTGAATGTGCCATTGCCAATGCGACTGTGTATGTCGAAAATATTCTCAATTTCAGGAATGCGTGTACGCAAGTCATTAATGGCTTCTGAAAGAAAAAATAAAATATTAATAGAATCTACAACGCATCATTTAGGTAGCTTAAGATTTATGACATAAAATTCTCTACTTGAAGCCCGTATTATTCAAATTATACCCTAAACACGTAAAAAAGCTGTAAGTTCGGCCGGACCGAACTTTGAATACCATCTACCATTTGGAAAGAATTTGGCAATTTTCAAAAAAATAAATTCCGTCAAAAATTTTGTTAAAATCTTAAAAATACCGAATGTAGCCGTTATATTAGGGTCTATACGACAATGTGGACCTGCATAGACAAATTTTGTCATAAGCGATTACAAAATACAAATGCGAAATTTAAAAAAAAAAAATCGTTGTAGCTACATTCAAATCAAATCATCAAATACCGAATATAGGGATGTACCGTTATATGGGGGCTATACGAAGACGTGGACCTACACAGACAATTTTCTGTCATAGGCTATAGTTCCCATTACGAACTTCATATACCAAATTTTAAATAATTCCGGTGAATAATGTCGCTTGAATCACCAAAATACCGAAAATAGGGAGGTACCATTATATGGGAGCTATAGAAAGACATGGACCTGCACAGACAATTTTCGGTCATAGGATGTAGTATCCATTACGAACTTTAAATGTCAAATTTGAAACATTTCGGGTGAATAAAGTCGCTAAAATCGTCAAAATACCGAATATCGGAAGGTACCATTATATGGTTGCTATACGATAACGTGGTCCTGCACAGACAATTTTCTGTCATAGGCTGTAGTATCTATTACGAACTTCAAATGCCAAAGTTGAAACAATTCCGGTGAACAATGTCGCTAAAATCATCAAAATAGCGAATATCGAGAGGTACCGTTATATGGGGGCTATACCAAAACGAGGACCTACATGACCTACCCATTTTCAATACCAAAAGTCCTGCAGACATAATATACATTTGAGTAAAATTTTATCCACCTACTTCATTTCGTTCGGAAGCTAGAGTGACTTCCACAGACGGGCAGACGGACGGACGGACGGACATCGCTACATCGATATAGAATTTTATGCTGTTCAAGAATATATGTACTTTGTGGGGTCTAAAATGTATATTTCAAGGTGATACAAATGGAATGACAAACTTAGTATACCCTCCATACTATGGTCGAGGGTATAAAAAAGTTTATATATAAAAGGGTATAAAAAAGTGTATATTATTTTTTTAATTTAATAGTATAAGAAACTAAAATATTGAAATATAAGTTCCGATAGCTACGTCGCAATTCATTCAATTTTAATTCCAATCTCCCAAGATGAAACAAAAGTTTGAATGCAGCTTTTTACGAATTCAATTTTGTTTAAATAGTTTACTTATAACAAAAGCAGAAGGCAAAATATTTTATTACGGAGAAATTAAAAAATTATTTTAGATTGCATCATTTTAATATATAACTATAATAAATAATAAATAACTCAGTCCTTTGAATTCAAGGTATCACCAAATACCTATTTAATATCGCTAATTATTTAACAATAACATATCATGCTTTTATATAAAGCAATATAAAATCATGTGAATTTCAACTAATATTTCTTGTTATTTACCTACCTACATATCTACTTTATAAACAAATCGCTTTTTATTTATCAATATAACTTTAGATGACACTGAAATAATGTAGATATGTATTCAAATGATTTATTATTAGATAATTTATTTTAATTTTAACGTTTGAGCGATAAGGAGTTACGGGCCAAGGAGGGGGGAGCAGTTGATGATTTTCAAGCTGAATGTTATGAGCTAAATGTTGATAACTAAGCAAAAGAGAAGGGTACCTGTTAGCAAACAGTAGGCAAGAAATCAGAAAAAAAACATTTGATGGTCAGGTGGGTGGCTTGTATATTTTAGCTAATACTTATTTGGAAAAATACTATTAAAAATAAGGTAGGATTCCTGTAATTCTTAATACAAAGGGACAATACCACTTTTCAATATTGATGACTAAATTGAGAATAAAAAGAAGAAATTGCATCAGCAACTGAAAAGTGTCGGCATCTATTTATTGGGTTTAACAGTGGGGATATCTTAGACATTCTATTCGACGAATTCACTTTCCTTCCCTAATAGCTTTTCACTACTTCGATATTTCTGGCATATTTTCTTTGGCAAAAACAAATTGTCAAATCTTGAGTTCTTAGCCTTCATTAGTTTACTGTTAACAATTTCCCCCATCATAGCATGGCCCTGTCATCAAAAAAAAAAAAAAAAACAATCTTTTCTGCAAATAAATAACTAATTTGCAACACCCTTTAAACATTCCATTGATCGGATTCCCTTCCTCACCCGCGAGCCCCTTTAATTGATAAAAACGTGCTAAAATTCACATTACACAAATTTTGTTCCATCTTCAAACTACAAAAAGTCAAATAAAGGACAAATTTATGCCAACAACAAAAACGTCATCTTCAAACAAAAAGAAACAATAAAATATCAATGCAAAAACGTGGACAAGACAGGAGGGGCTCAAATCCCATAGTTTACCTTCGTTTTTATTGCGACTTAAGGGTTTGGCATGAGCGGCTACTGCCAGCTGCTGCTGCTGTTCTTGTTGTTGTTGTTCGTTTAAATCAGCATCAGCAGCTGTTGTCATTGCAGAAACTTCTTCATTGATGATGTTGTTGTTATTGGGATTTTTTTCATTTTTTTGCACTGGTCCGGAGATTATACTATGTGTTGTTGTTGTTGTCACTGGGCTTTTATAGACCACCGGCTGTTGCTGCTGCTGCAAAGTTGTGGCGGCAGTTCGCTGCCTTGTACCATGATGATGTTGGGCTGTCTGTGGGCTAGGTATTGAGGTAGTTGTAGCACCTTTGAGGTTAAACGAATTTCGTAACTTCCTTTCCATTTCCGATTTCTAAAGCACCGGAACTTCTTTGGTCCAAACAATATACACTGGGATGGAAACGGCCGGCGCTTGTCTCCTCTTCTACTTCTTTTTAAATGATCAGTCGGGCAAAGGCAACAAAATTTGTATCGGACGACGTCGAAAAACGTTTACGTTTCTCGAATCGCAACTTTTATGCACCTCTTTCTCCTCCACCTCAGCAGCATGCATTAATTTATTACTAATAGATTTTACACTTATTTTATTCATGTATTCTCGTGAATATTCTCAAATTTTTCACATATTCTTCAATGTTTCGAAAAAATTTCACTCTTCCATCAATCAAAAGACAAACAATTGATATTTTATATTTTTCAATTTGGAACACAAAATTTCATAGTAAAATTTCTTTCTACTTGTTCCTTTTGCTGTTCAAATTCAAATGAGTTTCACGCATTTATTCCTTTCCGAATTTAACTTTTTTATTTACAACCAAACGTTTTCCGAACCGGACGGGACGCCTTTCGCGAAGCAAGCAATGCAATGAAGTATGAACATAGGGATGCCCAAGTCGATTACCGACTAATCGGCATTGTAGCAAATAATCGATGTCAAACCAAGGGAACAGCTGTTTATGAGACAGGCTGTCAAAATAGCTTGTTGGCATTTAAATCTGTATGACATTATAGGTTTCGGCATGTACAATGAATTTAAGGCAGGATTTTTGACAAAATTGTGAAAATGAGGCCTTATAGTTGCTCTGTTCCAGAACCTGGAGGAACATACTAGTTTTGCAGTTTTTTTTCATGATTTTATCGCAGTAAAAATGTTTAAATTCATGCAAATTCACGGAACAAAACATGTTGGATTTGTAATGACGAAATGTTTATCCTTAATTGATTTTTAAGGTCGGACAAGAAGAATTCTACTGAAAACTATAAGAAGTAGATGGGTTTTAATTGATAGATTTCATTCTCACACCTTAAGGAAACAAGACAACTGCATGAATGTAAAAGTTTATATTATTATAACCGATTTTCCCTCTATGATATCGAAGAAAATTTCAAAAATAGTAGATTCTTACAGGTACTGGGAGATAGCAAGATTTATAACAACACAATGTGCAATATTGCCGACCTTCGTTTTTGTCCTAGTCTGAACTCCCTTATGAGGTTGCAATACATAAATTCTGGGAATGTAATCGATATCGCGCGGGCTTTGAGAGGTCCCTATGTGGGACTTGTGGAAAAATTTTTTAAAAGTTAATACTTTATAGGAAATATAAACAAAAATTAAAAATATGTAAGATTTAGCGATTCTATATTTTCGGGATGTAAGAAAATTTAACAAAATAAGATCAGACCGCCCTTATATTAAGTATTTAACTCAGGTTTAAAAACATCAATTTTTGTTAAATTTTTATTTATTTCGTTTCACAGTGCTACTACTATCAAAATATCCCTTTAGTGTTGTTAGCAAAAATTCCAAGTCCTGAGAATTCTTCAAAAACTGGCGTATGGCCACAAATTCCGGATGTGGAGGAAACGTTTCGACAAGATCGTAAAGTTGATTGATTTCATTAAATGAAACGCTACAATTATTGTCATAGAGAAGCTGCAAAGATATAAATTACATTAAAATTTATTCTACAATAATTGGGCAAATTTTACCTTTCTGCTTATATTGTTCGCTTCCACTACCCGCTTTGAGATTTGAAAGCCTAAGGTAAGGCAAACTTTTTGTAGAAAATCTTCTCCACTTTCTGTGCCACCCTTTTTGACTGAAACCAAAGTTGTAAAATAATTTTTTAATTGAGTTTATGTGAATATATTGTTTGCTTTACCTGATTCCACTCTATTCGACAAACTACTCTCTTCCACTACCGCGTCATCAATACTATTCTGAACTTGATCAAGGCGCTGTATCAATTGTTTTTGCTTTTCTAAATAGGATCTTCTTTCGGATAGAACCTGCTCAATATCTCCCTTTAATTCCTGACAATGGTCTTCTAATTTTTTAATTAGTTTTTGTTGATTGGCAAATTCCATTTTCCTTTAGCGCCTTTTTTTAATTTAAGTATGTGTGTTCGTGTGTGCTTAATTTTGTTGTCGATTGCAAACAACGCCGTAGTGATTTATACACTCGGCTTCGATATGTATATCAGCTGATGTCGGAATATACCGTAATCGCAATCGATTTTCGATTTATCGGAATCGGCACAGAGTGAACATGATTAAAACAGCTGTTGCGGCTTTTGTTTGTGTACAATGTACACAGAAAGCTAAGAGTGTCGCCATCGATTGGCTTTAACCTGATAAGCTGCCGCCGCCGAAAAAAACGTCACGCTTCGTTGTCTGTGCATCAATAGAAAACACAACAGCCCAGGAGGACATAAAGAGAAATTTTTTGGGAGCAAATTGCATGTTTCACAACTAAAGAATGACTGAAACGTCAAGAAAAGCTCATCCGGAGTGTCTTCGCTATTTTTTACTCCAATTAAGGTTTCCCGGCTGTGCCCCAAATTCCGATGATGGCCGTGAAGATTCCTGTACAGTAGAGCACTTGATTGAAACTTTGGTCAGCGGGGGATACACGGCAGGTAAGTTGTTTTAAATTTATCCAGCAACTAGTATAAAATATATACTTCTGCTCTTAAGCTACCGCAAAGGAGACAATACTTAACGCCCTATGTGATGGACTTCTTATGCCAATGACCCCTGCTGCTGCATCTCCACGACCCCGGGCAGCGTTATCCGAGGTGAAACGTGTTCGTCTACCCAATTCACAGGAAGTTCGAGTGGACACTTCCCATGACTGGTATTGCTTTGAGTGCCATTTACCAGGCGTACTGGAATATTGCACACAATGCTGGCGCTCTTTTCATCGTTTGTGTTATCGTAAAAATCCCGAACGCCCCAACTACACTGTACCCTCTTCTAAAAAACAGAAAAATCGACTTCCCGCTTTTAGTTCCGACACGGAATCAGAAACAGACACCATAGCCCGCTGTTCCACGGCAATGGGCTCAGAACCTGATGTAAGAGCTAGTTCATCCCAGCGTATAGCGGATCAGACGCAACAGAAGCAAAATCTTGATGTAGTCGATGTGACTTGCTTAAATCAAGCCGAACCAAAACCCCTGATAGATGATTTAGAAACCAAAACTAAAGTGGATGTTGTTTACGTGGGTGAAATACGTCCACCGAATAGAAGACGACCGAATACTACGCCCTCGAATGTTTCCTATAAAAGTGAAGTTTCACCCAATGACGATGACGACCAAGATTTGGAGTTGTGTACTTGTTGTAGACTATTGAAACGCGCCCATCTCAACAATCCCCCGAACCTTCAACCGGATGAATTGAGCCATTTAATTAATTTCACATTTACCTACAACAGGGAATGGCTGACCCATGATGTTCGGGAGTATTTGACATCGAAACGATTGAATGTCAAAGAAATAAATCTACTCAATCATTTGCTGCTATATTCTCCGATAAAACGTCTGACAGATATCGACATAAAAAAGCAGCGAAATGAATACAATTTTCTTACAGAATTTTACGTGGATCTTTTGGATATTCAACACAACATGGGTGTATTTTTTGGACGTATGTTGCGATATAGATTACTCACAAGGCATATGTAGTTTGTAATTGATGTTTTTTTGCTTTCAGCCTACAGCACCGAACTGGAATCGACAAAATGGTTACTACGTGACGTAGCCCATGATTTGTCCGAAATAAGACGTTGTCCCGATTGTTTCCGTTATTCACATGAAAAGGATTCCGTTATTTGGTTTGCCAAACCCTGTGTTCAACGCCACGAGCTGGTCTATGCAAAGCACAGTGGCTTCCCCTACTGGCCGGCCAAGGTAATACGGGTATTGCCGAATAATAAGTTCGACGTTCGGTTTTTTGGTGGTACGCACTCAAGAGCTCTCATTGATGTGCGTCACATCAAACCCATAGATTCGGATGTAAAATCTCTCAAATTGGGCAACAGTCCCGCAATCAAGAAAGCCATGGAAGAGTTAAGATACCATCAGTTGCTGTCCACATATCCCCCAAGTTTATTTAGCTTCCACGCAAACCCCTTAGAAACGGAGAAGGTGATTCGAACTGTACTCGGAAGTAATCCAACTGCAGCTATATTTCAAGAAAAACGCCCGGGAAAGCGCAGGAAATCCGCAATGATTAGCAGCAGTGTAGAGGATGATTTTGCCCCCATTGTAAATAATACATCACAGTATACTGGATCATCGGTTAGCTCTTCAAGGGCTCTGAGCAACAGCCAATCCAGCATTGTATGCCCCGAATTAACCGTATCGGTGAAACGTCTGAAGGTTCATCAGTATCCTCCATTTAAACAGACGAACAAAAATAGTAGTAGCAGTGAAAAAAGATCGACCAGAAAGTCAAAGAAAAAGGATACTTCAAATGACCCAGCAGAGGTGGTAAGTAATTGCCCACCTTTTCTACTCAAAACTTGGTAACAATATACCCCCTTTAGCTGGACACAATGCTCAAGGAAATGGATGAAGCCCGCAAAGTAATCAATGAATATAAACAGAAAATTGATAAGCTCGAAGCCCAGAAACAAAAGCTAAAGGAAACAATAAAAAAGCAGGAACTTGAGCGCAAAATACTCAAACGGAAGCAATGGGTGAGTGGTTGTGTCATAGTTGTCTCCGGAACAAAAGTAAATATTACCCCTTTTGCATTTTCTAATAGTGTTATTGGTGCTTGGAAGAGGCCATATATTTATGTTGTTTCCGTGCCGCCTATTGTTCTGAAATATGTCAAACACGACACTGGAAGGATGGACATAGTAAAGTTTGTAAAAATCCTACCAATGGATCCAATAGCAATCCATAATGCTCTGATTTTCTCAAACAGTTATTTTTTTTTCTACTTTCCCTAGTTTATAGTATAATCATGATATTTTAATATAATGTTGAATTTTTTGTTTAAGAAAAGTGCAACAAGTAGTTACGAAGAAAAGGACATATAAAGTAAGAATTGTGGGTAATTTTGAATTGAATTCAAGTGTATTCACAGCAAATACCACACATTGTGTTGAAATGAATTTAGAAATTTATGAAGTATATACTATAAGAAATATTGCATAGTTTTCTACATAACATTAAAGGGAAGTATAGTGTATTATAGACTATACACTATGTAGCTAATATTTGATATGCAATTAGTAGAAATAGCCAGAACAAGTGTAATCAATTTAAAAATAAAATTTATTACAAAACTTAAACCTAAACTTGTTAGCAAAACCTTACAGAATTTATCCGGCATTAGGACTTTTGTCATTCGACGATGGATCACTCGTTTCATTTGCAATAATTTCTTCACTACCCTCATCGCCTTTTGCATGACTTTCTGGCTGGGCAGGGGTTTCATTGTTTTCAACAACTCTGCTAGTTGGCTCTTCCACTGTTTCCTTTTGCTTTTTCCACATCTTGGCAGCAGCCAACAATTTGAGATTGGGTCGGGCCATTTCATCCTCTGGAAATATATAGTCGAATACCTCTTCCCAACCTTCCTCCACACCCGCTTCGGAGATAATCTTTTGACGTTTCTTGACACGTCGTGGCATTTTGTCCATAACCTTTTCCAGGCTTTGTTGATCGCCGGATTCACGTTCAAAATCACGCCACGCTTCCAACAGCAATACCCTGGACTCTTTGTCTTGCAATTGTCTCAGAGTATCATTGGCTCTTTCATATATTCGGCGAGCTAGACGCACATTCATTTCCTGATCCTCTTCGCCTTCCAACTGGGAGGTTAGCTCAAATTTGGCGTATGACATCCAAACCTTAACATGCTGGGTGCGTTCCAACAGACGTTCATACAGTTGTCTTGCCAATTCGTATTCCGCTTGGGCAACTTCAAAATCAATATAGGCTTTCCATAACAGTTCTGGCATATCGAGGCGAGGTTGTTGTATGGCCAATTCATATATGGCTCTTGCCCGATCTGTGTCACCCAAAAGATTTTCCAATTCTGCAAATTTCATCCATGTAACGCAATTCTCTGGACCAAATTCAAGGAACTTTTCATACAACAAACGGCAGCGATCAAATTCTCGCAGTTGTATCTCCAATTCAATGTAGCCTCTGAAGAGTTTGTCTCTCGGACACATGCCTATGGCCATGCCCAGAGTTTTGCGGGCTTTCTGCAAGTCCTTGCAGCGGATTTCAAAGTGAGCATACATTAGCCAAATTTTGCTGAACGTAAACTTTTTGTGCGGTATCAGCTCGAGGCACGTTTTGTAGATTTGGCGAGTTCTTTCCATGTCTTCTGTTTCCAGTTCCTCATACAAAGCATAATTTATCCAGAGATATATGTAACGACGCCAATAATTTTTCTCATTAGCTGGGGGTACATTCGATATGGCTCGTTCGTAGGTTTCTCGTATCACATCAACATCTCCTTCGCCTAGAAAAAAATGTAACATTTAAAAAAATATCCGAAAATTTAGGACTCCAGAAGAAAACAAACCTTCAATAAGCCTCAAATAATCGAACCAGGCATCATAGTTTTGGGGATTTGTTGCAACTTCCAGTTCATATTGGAATTTTCGCTTGGAGACAATGACATCCTCAATGCCTGCCCTATCGCCATATTTCTTCTCGTGTATCGTATAGGCTTTGTACAACTCCTTTGTCCTGTCTTTGGGCAAATGATCCAGAGCATACTTGTAAATAACTCTGGCCCTATCGTGTTCCTTTTGACCTTCTTCGAATCTGGCAAATGCTATAAAGAGACGCTCATCAATGTAATCATCGCCAAAGAATTCAACAGCCCGCTCAAAGACACGTCTAGCCCCATGTATAAAACCATGCGTCTCCTCAAACCGGGCAAATTTTATCCAATTTTTTACATCGGGATGAACATAAACAAATCGCTCGTAAATGGCCCTGGCCCGATCAATTTCTTTATAACGTAATTCAAAGTTCACATAGGTTTGCCATGCTTGCTCTTCCGGTTGCCATTCCATCCATCGCTCAAACACCTGCCTTGCACCGGCCACATTTTCCAGCATCTCCTCCATGTATGTGTACTTGTACCAAAACTGATTGACTCGTGGCATTATCGTCACCGCTCTGTCCCACAGATTTCTGGCATGATTTACTTGTTTATTTTTCATTTCCATTTCGGCATATTTCAGCCAAATTGTAATGTTGCGATGGTCATTATCCAAAGCCCGTTCCCAAATGGAACGTGCTCTCTGAATTTCCTTTTGTGATTCTTCCCATTGGGCATATTTGATCCAGTGACTTACAACCATGCGATTCTTTCGCAAATTATCTTCGAAAACTTTACGCTTTCTCTGTTGGTAGTCAGCCAATTCAGCTGGATCGGAGATTTTCTGTTTGGGCGGCGGTGGCAAGATTTCCAAATCACGTTCTTTGGCTTCCCTGAGCAGTTGCTCAGCCGTGATTTGGACCTCGGCGGGTGCTTTGTTCTTCACCTAAAATTCATTTTATGGAATTATGTGGTGTTCTCGAGGAATGGGAATTTATTGCAATAATTTTACCTTGGCCACCTTTGGCATCTTTTGTGGTCGTTCCATGTTTGTTAGTTAAATGCTCTAAATGCTCTCCCCGCAATCCTTAGAAAACGTTTCGTTTGTGCAATGAAAACAATAACATGTCAAAAAAGCAGCTGTCAAAATGATATGACATCTGGCGGCTAGGGATGCATAGTCGATAGCAGGACTTTTCGAATAATCTACAATACAGAATCGATATTTTCCATATTAAACCTAGGAATAAATAAAATCAGCTACAAAACTACTGTTTATATTTTAAAAGATAATCCTTTTTATTATTTTCAATACGCTTCTATTAAGCCCATAACCTTTATTGACGAAATGCTAAAATCAATCGCATTTGTCGCTTTCAATAATCGATTAAACGAAAGTCGACCTACATATCCCTACTACCGCTGCCGCCGTCAACAGCCAGCAGTTGTTTGTGTGAATCGGCTGAGGGTATTTAGGATTAAAATTGGAAAATAGAATAAAAGCGACAAAGATGGTGTTCCAGCTATTGCAACGTTCTTCCGTCCGGGCTGTGCAACAGTTTGGCAAAACACGCTGGATCAATACATCCGTTATGGTAAGAATAAATTTGTATTTTTATGATTTTTCAAGAGAAAATTATGTAATCTCGATATGAGTATATCCAGATAGGTTTTCTGTCTGAATATGAAGATAAATTGTATAATTCCTGTAGAAGAAGTTACCTAACATTACTGACATCACAAATTTAATGGAATGTTTTCAAAATTTGTCTGGAAAATTAAGATTTTTCAGTTGTTATTCCAATTGGTTATGTCAAATATTGAATGACGGCTGTTACAACAACAATAGTTCTGCAAGTACCTCTTTTTGCAAAGTGAAGAAAGCCGGTAAAATGTATAATTATATATGTATATACATATGTCTGCGTACATAAAAAGGCTTAGAATTAGTATGTACATTCATAAATTTTTGTTTTTTTTATGTGTCCCTTTTGCGAGAATCATAAACTCCTTTATTTGTGTCTTGTTATATATATATTGTATTTATAGAATACAAAGGAAACCACATGGGCGCACATATGCATAGAAGCTTGTGGAGGTCCACAAAGTACTAAATATTTAAGATTACTTATATTTGACATAACTACTTAGTATCCAAGATCCTTGGAATCAACAAACTGGGGTAGATTACTCCCTTGCAAAAAATTGCTAACATTTTCACATTTTCCAGATGGTGGAAGATTCTACCTTTTTGACAATTTTTGCTTTATAAAACCACACAGTTATATTTTTACAATTTTGTAAGGTCGTTAAAATTTGGCGTATTTCTACATGTTTAGACAAATTACTTCCTCGGTACCATTTTCACTTTTTTATTTCACACAACAGCATTGTTGCACTCTTAGACAATTTTCGATTTCTATGGCATTGTTTTATGGAACTGTGTTAAAATCGGCTTTTCAATTCTCATTCAGTACTATCAATTCCATTCCATCAAAATGAGTAGAACCTTTTCTGAAAGCAACAAAAACAATTCACAACAGACTGTTTACATTTAAAAACGATTAGCACTTTTTAAAAAAAGATCAATTAACCGGTTTGATAATGAAATTTAAGCGTTTTTTTTTTTGCTTGGCTGGCAAGTTGTTCTGGTTTTGAGTGGAAACTAAAAAAAAAGAAAAACAAAAACAACAACCGTGATAATCCTAACCGCCAATCCACCATACACTGATATGACATAAAAAACAATGAAAAACGTTAACGTTATCTCTTGAGTTAAATTTCCATTTTGTTGACTTTGAAATCTGAAACCAAAGTCACTCGTTTTTCCCAGTGTGATATAATAAGAAACGTTCGTTTAGTATTGCAATACGTTTGCTATAAGAATGGTGAGCCGTAACGACGAGACTGGAAGACAAATCAACAACTTTTGTTTGCTTTTGAGCATATTCCATTATAACTCTTTGTTTTACATTTTTAGGCGCTCCAAGATTATCGCATTGAAACCGATACTTTCGGCGAATTGAAGGTGCCCAGTGACAAATACTATGGCGCCCAAACAATGCGTTCCCAAATTAATTTCCCCATTGGTGGCCCAACGGAGCGTATGCCCAAGCCGGTCGTCCAGGCCATGGGTATCTTGAAGAAGGCTGCCGCTGAGGTTAACAAGGAATTTGGTTTGGATCCCAAGATAAGTGACGCTATTTCAAAGGCTGCTGATGATGTGATCTCAGGAAAGCTTTATGATGATCACTTCCCATTGGTTATTTGGCAAACCGGTTCTGGTACTCAAAGTAACATGAACGTCAACGAGGTAAGGTGTAAACAAGAAAGAAACCCACATTGTTTGTTAAACCCTGTTGTTATGTAATTTAGGTCATTAGCAACCGTGCTATTGAGTTGTTGGGCGGCAAGCTGGGTTCCAAGGATCCTGTCCACCCCAATGATCACGTCAACAAATCCCAAAGTTCTAATGACACATTCCCCACCGCCATTCATATTTCCGTCGCCTTGGAATTGAACAACAACCTTAAGCCCGCCATTAAAATTTTGCACGATGCCCTCAAGGCCAAGTCGGATGAGTTTAAGGATATCATTAAGATTGGCCGTACCCACACCATGGATGCCGTACCCTTGACCTTGGGCCAAGAGTTCAGTGGCTATGCCCAACAGATGGCCTATGCCTTGGATCGCATCGATGCCTGCTTGCCACGTGTCTATGAATTGGCTTTGGGTGGTACCGCTGTCGGTACTGGTCTTAATACTCGCATTGGTTTCGCTGAAAAGTGTGCTGCCAAGATTGCCCAATTGACCGGATTGCCGTTTGTCACTGCCCCCAACAAGTTTGAAGCCTTGGCTGCCCGTGATGCCATGGTTGAAGTCCATGGTGTGTTGAATACCATTGCCGTAAGTCTCATGAAAATTGCCAATGACATTCGCTTCTTGGGCTCTGGTCCACGATGTGGCTTGGGAGAACTAATGTTGCCCGAAAATGAGCCCGGCAGCTCCATTATGCCTGGCAAAGTCAATCCCACCCAGTGCGAGTCAATGACCATGGTTGCTGCTCAAGTTATGGGTAATCAAGTTGCTGTCACAGTCGGTGGTTCCAATGGCCACTTCGAATTGAATGTTTTCAAGCCTTTGGTTGTTTCCAATGTCTTGCGTTCCATTCGTTTGTTGTGTAAGTCAAATATTAGGCTGTATTCTTAGGGGAAAACTTGTTCCAATTTGCATTTCTGTCCTCTTCTTTTAGCTGATGGAAGCCGCACCTTCACTGCCAATTGCGTACAGGGCATCCAAGCCAACAGAGATCGCATCAACAAAATCATGAACGAATCCCTTATGTTGGTCACCGCTTTGAATCCTCACATTGGTTACGACAAGGCTGCCAAGATCGCCAAGACTGCCCATAAAAACGGCACAACCTTGAAGGAGGAAGCCATTAAATTGGGCTATCTCACCGAGGAACAATTCGCTCAATGGGTCAGGCCACAAGACATGTTGGGCCCCAAGTAATTTTTTGTTTGTTTTATAAAATAAATTATTTAATATTGTCATCGTTTAGGATTTAATGTTTCCATTTTTTGCTAAATAAAATTTATGCAGAAAATGAAATATAAAACAATTTGGTTTTATATTGCAACGAAATGGAAGAAGTTCATCAATTGTTATTATTCCTGTTTGTGAGTTCTGGCTGTATAGAATCGGTTCAGGGGAAAATAGAGCCGCAATGAGGAACTCATATGATGAGTCAAAGTTCTCGTGATGGAATTCAAGCGTAATAGTGTGATTTCTTTATATTTGCATGGAAAACAACTAGTAGGTATCGTTAGAGCACTCCAGCATTTAAATGTGAATAAATCTTTTGTGTCTCGTACCATCGCTCGTTGTCGTGATACTGGTGCGGATGAAAACAGCAACATCAGCAGAAATGGTTCAAAAAGTAAAGAAGCGACTTGATCGAAACCCGCGTCGCAGTGGCCGAAAAATGGCTCGTGAGCTGAGCATATCACAATATTCCATTCGGCAAATTTTGAAATATGAGCTATGAGGTAAAACCCTTGAAATTCCAAAAAGTGGTCAGCGGAAAATGTGCACCTTCGGTTGGCCACCAGAACTCAAGCGCTGGCCATGGTGATGGTGTGGGCCGTCATAACAGCCGATGGTCGCTCTCCGCTCGTATTAATCGACAGTGGCATCAGAATAAATGCCGAATATTATGGCGAAAATATTTTAGAGGGTGTATTAAAGCCTTGGACACGCAAACATTTTGGCCGCAGACCTTGGACATTCCAACAGGACTCAGCATCATCGCACTCTGACCGAGCCATCCAAGAATGGTTACAAAATGAGGTTCCTTGCTTCATTTCCAGCGAACAATGGCCACTAAAATCTCCGGATTCCAATTCGTTGGACTATTGTGTCTGGAGTATTTTGGAAAGCAATGTTGGCACTAAAAAATATCAAAGTGTCGATCACCTCAAGCAAGCACTTCGCCGGGAATGGGCCAAAATACCGCAGATCAACATTCGGGCGGCGTGTGGTTTCATTGGCCGTTTAAAGGCCATAGTTCGTGCCAAAGGTGACTGATTCGAACAAATCTAAACTTATTCTAAAATTTGATGCTATTTCCGACATTTTTTTTCCTTTCATTGAATAAAATTAAAAAATATTAAATTTATCTCACCCTGTACATACCTACCATCTGATCTCTTCGAATTGAATAAAACGATATATTTTACACTTTTTTCGGATTAGACTTAACTTTATTTTAATCTGTTACACTTACACACTAAAATATATAGGTGGTTAGATATTGTACAAAAAAACAAGTTAAAATATCGACAAATAGAATATTGATTTGTTTCGTTTGCCAACATTTCTGCCAAGGCAACAAAGAAATGTCACAAACCGTGCCCATGCGACTATTTTAACTTATTTTTTTTAACAATTTTCAGTGGAAAATTAAGACAAACAATACAAATGAAAAAGAGCTTTTTTGCCAAAAAAATATTACAAAAATCGAACCCCCTTATGGCGGTCAGGACAGAACCTACTGTGGCTTCTTTATCAATATCATCTCTTTGTAAATAACAAGGGTATGCCTGATGCCTTGGTTGCCGGGGGCAGGAGTCTTGACGACAGCAATCTAGATTGAGTGAATGCAGGCAGAGGTATCTAATCTGTTTTGGATATTTCTGTGGTTTGATCTTCAAAGTAGAGATATACAATTTTTATTTCATATTTCTCTTAGAAACATTAGCCAAAACAGATTGGTCGCCGTCGCCTTGTTTTATTTTTCAAGTTTTCAATGGTTAGGTTACCAATCAATTACAATCATTTTTAAAAATTTCGTTTAGTATAGTTATGCAAATGAAATATTTGTGTAAATAATTGTTTTCAAAATTTATTTGAATGGTCTTAAAGTTAGAGGTATGTTTTCTTTTCTTTGTTGATATATTAATAATAGTATTTCATGCAGCAGCGCGGCAAGCAAAGTGTTGCGACTGCTTTAAAAACAGAACTTGGCTTTTGCAAGATTACTAGTTAAGTTAAAATGTTGTTCAATTCTTTGTGATCGACCGTTAATGCAGCAAATGAGAATAAGTTCTGATTTTAATGTTTACATTTTTGGTTTTCTTTACATCTTTAAATAGACACACAGATAAATATAATTAATTATTGAACGCTTTCTTTAAAGTTATTTTTATATCTGATTAAGCATTGGAAAAATCATTAAAAACATTAACTTGGTTTCTTAATATTTCAGAACTTTTCAAGATTATGTGTACTGGATGATGTGATTTTCATAGTATCGTATTTGTATATTGAAGCTCTCTCTTAATTTGTCAGCTCTTGCAACTCTTTTCTATTTAAATATATACCATTGTAAAAAGTTAATTCTTTTTATTTTCATTTGTGTTTGCCTCTTTTTTATCGTCCTTTTTGGTTGTATTTGTTTGTTTGTCTTTTTCATCCTGTAAAAAGTTTTATTTGAGAAAAAATTAAGAAATAAAATGTTAATAACATTTTCTGTTTACAAAAAAAATATGCTATAAGATATAGGTGTAAAGGATAACATCTAGCAAGTCAATAGCACATATAAAGCTGGACATGGATAGATTACCTTTCCGTCACGGGAAGACTTCAAGAAAGTGATAGGGACAACCATTTTCACTGTGTTCTATGTATTTTCCATTTAATTTAATGCTTTTGATGGCATTTGACAGTGGCAAAGAACCATCAGGATGTTCTGTTCTATCCTATCAAATACAACTTGGCCAAATAGAAACTGTAGCCAAAAGTCCTTGCACTGAATTATCATGTCTCTGACTTTCTCTACAGGCATATCTTAGCTCTCATATTCTTAGAATTACATATTTTAAAGAAAGCTTTGGGCCTACATAACTGCTCATCAAGTATTATTATTTATCATATTTACCTTAGCCTTAACCGAAGCAGCCTCCTTTTTCAAATACTCCTCGCGGGCAGACTCGTACATGGCCACGAATTTGTCACGTTGTACTTTGAACTGTGCAAACAACTCATCGTCTTTGTTGCCTTTAAGACGATTCTCAATATCGACTTTCTTGTCATGCTCCTCCCGTATTTCGCTGGTTACCCATGGTTTGTCAATGGGATATTGATTAATCAAATTCTTGAGGGTTTTCACTGTACTGCCCTTACCCTTGGTAACCTTTTTGGGGCTAAGTTTGTTTTTCTTTATCTTACCGCCGGCCATGAAGGGTGCCGGTGGCATCATGCGTGGTGGAATCATGGGCGGAATTGGTGGCATGGGTCCATTGCGACGCATAAATGGAGGTGGAGGCTGTACTCCCATACCCATTGGGGGTATTGGCGGACGCATCGGCATGGGTGGTGGCATCATTGGTGGTTGGAAACCACCCATTGGTGGATGGAATCCCATGGGACCCATGCCACGAGGACCTGCGCCCATTGGTGGCATCATACGATTGCCGCGGCCACGATTTGCCATACCAAAGTTGTTGCGTGGACCGTTGAAGCGAGGATTGTTCACAGGTCCTCCAACCTGATTGTTATTCTTCCATCCAACATTTGGCTGGGGCTTTCCATTCTTCGCCTTATTCTTGTTATTATTGTTTTTCTTTTTAGCATCTGCTGCGGCTGCATTGTTGTTGATATTATTCTTGTTGAAGGCGGCATTATTATTGCCATTATTCGGTGGTGTGGGTAGATTGAAATCAAAATCTAAATAACCCGGATTGTCGGGTATCTGACTGACATTGAACATTGGATTATTGTTAAAATTGGTGTTCATCGGTGGTTTTATTGGTGGCTTTTTATATGGCATCTGACGTTGTTGTTGTGCTGCATTTACTCTGCCATTTTGAAAATTCTTTTTCGATACCATATTTTTGTCTTACGTTCTGCTGCGTTACGTCGCTTTTCCTCTAAATGTTTAAATATTTTGTTTAGCAAATTATCTAATAAAAAATATGAATAGTGTTTTCTAATAGTACAATAGGTGGTTTGCGATATATTACTCTCTTTTCTCTAAAGTATTTGTAGTTCTATTGGTTTATAATCACAATTTTATTGGTTTTCTTCTTGCACACAATTTTTTTCCCAAGCTATTTTTTCAAGATGAAGCCGATTAGGGATATGTAGATCTAGTTATGACTAATGTTCGATTTTTTTCTGGGAAACGCCGAGAAGGAAGTAGTGATGATGGAATATCGAATAATCGATTTTTAGAGAAGGTATTAACAACCATTTTCTTTGACATTCTATGCAGTCTGGATAAAAACTGTTCATTTCGTTTGTCAGTAGGTGATTTATTCTTATAGAAACAAAGATACCATGCAATATACGTCCTAATTTCTCATGCATATTTGTATAGAACCCTATAATCGATTATTTAGGGATATGTAGTTCAAAAAAAAAAAATATAGAGGATACGGGTACTTGGTACTGCAAAGAATAATTGGATTGGGGCATAGACATTTTGCCAATGTATTTACCATCAGGTAATGTCATATTGACTTTATAGTTTCTAGAACGCAGGTATATCCTGGAATTTGTCGAAGCACCATCTTGCTAACGCAGAGAAAAACTTGTGCAGATTTACAGAAGCTAGTCTCAATAAATGCTTTTCAACTAACTGTGCTACAAATAAAACTAACGGCAAACAGGCTACATAACTATCATGGTAGAAGAATACGGTATGGGGCATCAATGGTGAGGAACATTGATATGTCAACATTTTTGACTGTTTTTTTAAAAATAAGTGGATTTTTATATGTTTCCTTACATGACACCAGTCGGAGGTTGTTATAATAAGCATTTTTCAAGAGCTTTAACGAATTTGAAGAACTTTTCATTCAAAATTTTCAATTCCAAAATTGGTTTGACAGTTCATTGTCGCAGCATGATAACTACCAAAGATGGGGATCATTCATAATTACTAACAGATTTAATCTATCGCTGACATCCGTCTTGTAACGGAATATTGCTGCGGATATGTAGTTTGAAAATTGGCCTTCGAAGAGAGCAAAGCAACTGGTGATAAATTAGAGAATCACAACAGAAACGCCAAGGCATGCCAATGGGTATCTATAGATCGAAAATTGATTGTCGGTTACAAAGTGGCCACGCCATACTATTTATTGCCACTGTGGCAACATCACATACACACACATTCACAATTGATAGAAGTCGCCTGATAGAAGACTCCTAGAATGAGGGAGAGTTGAGGACGTGAAAATTTACACTAGCAAATATTCACTTTAAAAACACCGAACAAGCATCACGCAAAAATTCAAACAATCCTCGTCTACGGTAATAATAAAATATTAAGCGCCAAAGAAACAACTAAGTAATTTGCATCAAGAAAATACAAAATAATAGCTTTAAAACAAAAGTAATTAAAGTATTTTAAGTGTACAATAAAAAAGTGGAGTTGACAAGTATTTTTTATACATAAAAAAAGTTTTCCTTGAGCTTTCTTTTGAAATTCCTGGACTTGAAATTTTGTGAATTCATTAAAAAGTATTTTTTGAAAGGATTTAAATCTAAAATCAATACCTATTGTAAGAAAAGATTTTGAGTGATTGAAGTGAGCTGTTGCCTCTCTTTTTTGCAATTGCCCAAAGAGGAGGTGGGTGAGTTTATGCTAATCCTGACGAAAAAAATCATTTCAAGCTGAGCAATATTGGTTGTAAGGAAATGTGTTCGTGTGGAACTTAAGGATTTCTTTCGCAATTTTAGTTTAATAAAGTATCATTTGCGGAAGCATTTTTTCATCACACAATTCTTAAACAATCCCACCCACTTTTGTGGTACCACTTCCTGTCAGCCTGAAAAAGATTTTGGTTTGGCTGGTGGTTGATTTGTTTTTTAATGGTAAAGAAGGATTGATGCCCTCGTCTTTTTTTTCCTGGGGCAAATAGATGAACATTTGTATTTGATTAACAACATTTTTTTTGCATACCTGACCAAATTGTGTTAAACAATAAGAAAACATTGTTGTTCACAAACGTTTACATGGGGCAAGAAGTGTCAACAACACCACAAGAACCTTCTCGATGATTGTTGTTGTTGCTGCTGATCGTTATGTTTGTGCCAAAATTTTCGTTTTTTTTTTTGTTCATTCATATTTTTGCAAAAACAATGATGCCAGATTGTTTGGTTAATGCGATCAAGGGGAGTCATGTATCCTATACCAACATACCAACATACCAAAAATACAATTTGAGAATAATATAAAAATTTTCCTACCTTAAGGCTTATGTTCTTAAGCTTTTAATATTATTCTCAAGCCATTTTCGTATGTTGAGTAAACTTATTGTAATATTTTTCTGAATCCATTTTAGTATGTTGGGATGTTTTACCCAAGAGTTGCCAATGAAAAGTGAAAGGAAACTAAAAATAGAACGCACCAAGGGAAAATTATGAATCGGAAAACAGGATACCTTTAAAGTGATTGGGAAGTACAAGAGGATATCGAATTTCTGTGTCTAAATGTCTAAGTTACAAAGGTCCTGTTTTTTTTTTTAATTTGTATCAGATATTCTCATTCTTTTCTTCTGTCCGTAAACTCCTTTCTCCTTTATGAAATTATGCCTGACTACCGAAATAACATTTTTTTCTTAATAAGTTATATTCCAGTATTAATTTTGGTCCACTGCTGAAGGAAGCAGGAGTTAATCATCCTCACCAAAATAACAATTGGTCATTATTATTTAACCTTAAAATTAAAATCGTCCTCTAATTAAGTCAAATAAAATCCCTGGTACAAAATATTAAGCACCACCTACCCAACCCTCAAGTAAATTTTGTATACCCACATGTCAGATGGCTTTTTAAGCGGTGTAGGTGTCATTTGATAAGAAATCATCTCCAACATTACAATGGGAAAGCAAACAACCAAGTGAATAACCAGCCAGCCATGTTAGAGCCACTTAATTGATGTCATAATATTGATGGTCATATCTATCTGTCTGCTGCTACTTCTATACAGTCTCGCGTTCTGCATTCACCTATCTATGAGTGGTGGCTGGCCAGCGCAGATGTTGTGGCAAAAAAAAAAAAAAACGCTGCTAATGAATAAACAAAAAAGAATGCAAAGTATATTGAGTCCATATGGTGGGGTACCGCAAACGGGTTATCATCTCTATGTTAGGGGGTATTATAGTTTCTTGTGCAAAGTGAAGTGAAAATAAAGCATATATTTTGTTTGGTTTTTTGTCTGTTCAATCATCTGAAATGACTCATCAATTTGAAGTCAGGTGTGAAAGTCAAAGCATTTTAAGTTTAGCGGGTCTCCTTTATTATCATTGCTAGACCATTAAAGTGCAGTTTACTGGTTATAAAAGTAATATGTATTTACATAATCATTGTTCTAGGCTGTTGCTATCCTTGGAGTTTTCGCTATCATGTCATTTTATTACCTTGTTATTGTTTTATAAGCCTAAAAGTAGGCTATGCAATATTTCCATAGCAATGAACTGTTTTCTTTTTTGTGTCTTTCTTAATTTAAATTGATTTTTGTCGAATAACGTTTTTTTTTTTTTGCTACCATGACATGTTTGTGCGGAAGAACAAATACCTATCATGCGGCTCATCGTATACAGTTGCCATATACGGTTGTTTTAAGAACTGGTTTCTAATGGCACAAAAATAGCTTTGCTTGTTTTGATTTAACACTTCCATACATACCTCCATACACCAATCAATATTTTGAAAAAAATGACGTCACTCTTTAAAATATAATAAAGACTCGACTCGTGTTATCCACTGACTTTGTATTAAATTCCTTGGAACAGCAGACGAATCGAATTGTTTCCACTGTTGTTTATTCACTTTTACTTTCGTTTGGAGAAATATATGTACAAAAAAAGTTATTGCCGGCTTTACCAACAACCATTATCCGCACCACGTGGTTTATATTACAACAGCCAACAGTCATTGACTGCTGGCGTTGCATTCAGCTGATAACCGGCCCTGTTCTTGTTGTCATATTATAAATACTATAACAGAATGCATATGCAATTTTCAATTGTCACTTGGTCATTGTATTAAATAATGATGACAAGTGATAGATTTTATGAAGAAGAAAGCTCATTTGGAAACAAAAAACTTTTCAACTCCATCCATCATTTTATGTTACTCTAGAATCATACGCAAAGAGTTTAATGAAAAGAAAGCTAAACCGTTATCCCCTTTGTTTACTTTCATGATTTTTTTTTTTTGTATTGCTGATTTCTAGCTATAAACAAACAAAAAAATTAATAATGTCTTTGTTTTTTTTTTTCTACTTCCAGTTCTTATTTTGGTGAAGTGATTCCGCAAATCCAACTCTCAATTATTTTTTCTATAACTATTGTTAAGTAGGCTAAAAGAAAACAAACAGAAAAATGTCAGATCGCAAAGCTGTTATCAAGAATGCTGATATGAGCGAAGAAATGCAACAGGATGCTGTTGATTGTGCGACACAGGCATTGGAAAAATATAACATTGAAAAGGTAAGTAATTGATTTTATATGGATTATAACAAAAATTAAAGATGTATTTAAAGGATATTTGTGCAATAACGACACTAGGTTTACTAATGTACGGCGGCAACTAGGTAACATAAATCTCAGCCACCCTACCTATGTTTTATGGGGTAATTTTCAAAAACAAAGCAGGAAAACTAAGGGTAGGGCTACTTTAAGCGCCGAACACATCGAAGATGCTTCATTTATTTATTGGCGTATAAACAATGCATGAAATTGACCATCTAATAATTGGTCGATCTTTAATGATAAAAAAGCAATCGGTATGACAACTTGAAATAATAACTGATACTCTGTTCAGGCAATGCAAAGAAGCTAAATGAATTTAGTCCAATGGCTGAAAAATAAATCAACGATGAACCAATTTTTTAGCACTCGTCTTAGTCTGAATAAACGATATTTAAAATAGAACAGTGTTGGCTTGTTTGTTTGGGATACCATAGTATTTTGTTGTTTCAAATTAAAAATATCCAATTTTTCATCCACTCTGCAGGTGATCTTTGCAATTACATTCAGAATGCAACTTTTGTCAACCATTATAACTCCTTCATTTTTGTCACTTTTGTTCATAATTAAGATGATGATGATGATAAGCAACGTTGATATTTTCTGTTTGCGCATTTTGTTGTTATCTTTTATTTATTGTGGTAATTTATGCGATATTTCACAAGAACAATCAGAAAAATCAGCAAAACAAAAATCGTATAAAACACGTTAACAGATTCTTCTGGGGAGTAGTCTACAAATAAAGATACCAAGTTGTTGAAATTTGTCAATTTATGGTTTGTTTCCCCCCAAGACAGCACCAAAAGCAAATTAAATTTTGTAATTTTTGTGGGCATTTCCTGTAATTGGCTACACGGGTTTCGATCAAGTCGCTTCTTTACTTTTTGAACCGTTTCTGCTGATGTTGCTGTTTTCTTCCGGCCACTTCCTTGACGTCGGGCTACGCTAACACAACGGTAACGAACGATGGTACGAGACACAAAAGATTTATTCACATTTAAATGCTGGAGTGCTCTAACGATAGCCACTTGTAGTTTTCCAGCCAAATATAAAGAAATCAAGCTTGAATTCCATCAGGAATAACTTTTTTTTCTGAAAAATTCTCACCAAAATGCTTTTGTACGCCTGTAAACAATATAATGAGCTGTCGCTGGAATAATTTCGGACGAGTGGCTTAGAAATGACACAAGTCTGAAGTTGGTTGCAGTTTTTTCATATCACCCTGTATTTTATGATACATTTCCTATAGAATACTAAACCCTAAATGGATATCCCATAAAAAGGTCTTTGCCCATAATATCGTACTTCCTCCATACACGTTCTTATTTCTCACCATAGAACTTTTCCCATATACCTATATTTATAGTCTAGGAAGATAGGTGAATATGAAAATTTGACATTTTCTCGCCCCTCTCCCTCTCTTTGGGCCCTAAAGAACCTTTCCGGAATTGAGAATACCCGTGTCAGTTATCATCACACGTTTAATATATCTATATAAATAGATAAGGTACAAATTACCCCAATTGTTGCCGTTATTTTGTGATTATTTCTATAAATAGATACGATAAAGTAAACCCACAGCTTGCCATAATTAAAGTTCAATAACATTGTCAGCAATGCTACAAAATGCCCTTTTTGTTGTATTATGTAATTTTTTGTAATAACCTTATCACTAGCTAGCCTTCCTACTATTTTTCCCCATTTTCATTGTCTTGGTCATGGATGTTATTAAAAATAAAGTAGAAGAGAGAAAAAAACGAGCGTTTGGAAATAGATAATCAATATTATGTACATCACATGCACCACATACATATATTGCGGCAATGAAAATTGTTTCAAGAAAAGGCCAATGGTAACATTGTTCACCTCCTTCTCCACCTTTTGTCCCCGTGTGCCTATGTACCCAAAAAATACGGAACTAACTACTATTCTCTTTATGTAGGCAAATTGCTGGATGACATTGTAAAATTATGAGAATTATTTTCGGTTGACACAACAGCAACACTCAGACATGCTCACACTCAGCAGCAGCAGCCATGCTTGCTTTGTGCGGTGGTTGGTTGGCAGTGTGAAACCTTCTTTCATAAAAAAAAAAATATTGTGATTTAGGTGAATGGACAACCAGCATTGTGGCTGAGGAGACATGCGCCACCTTTTTCCATATCTCTGTATACTACTACTTTGATTTTTAAAAGTGTGCGGCGTGTGCTCACGGGGCACATACACAAGCAAACACAATACCAATGCGAAAAAGGGGGTGAAAGTGTTGTACAGGTGGAAGAAATTGCCTCTCAGAAAATATACCTAACTGCCCACAACTTAACAAGCTTAGAACACACAAAAGGTGGCCAACAACAAATATAAGCATAATAACATTTGTCGCCGCCATCCCAAAAACAACAACAACACCCATCTCATGCCATGGCACGGTAATCATCTGCCAACAGCCAGTCAGTCACTCAGTCAGCAGGCCAGCCATGGCATTTAACCAAGGCAATGGCAATGATTTAAGTTCAAATTGCCTTATTAGTAGAGGCTAGCGGTTATTTGGGGCGACTTTTGTTGGCCAGTATGGTTTTTAGTTAGTTCTTGATACCATTGGAGGATAATCGTGTTATTATATGCCGCCATGGTTAAAACCAAACGGAAATATAATAAAAATGACCAAGAGAAACAATAGGTTTATACCAAACACAGCCGAGAAAGAAAAATAAAACTTTCCAGTTAGTAGCATAGTAGTTTGAAATGGAAGGAAGGACGGATAGGTATAGGTTAAATGGTGATGATAAGACAAAAAAATCGCAGCAAAGAATTGATGGCTACATGAAGAGCGAATAATCCATTACAAGGCCATATAAATAAACTAAGTTAGATATAATCAAACGCTTGGATTATTTCTTTAGTAAAATACATTTCCTCATTAGCAAAGCAGTGAGTAACTATAAAACCAAACGTTCCACACCAGCAGCGAAAAAATGAATGGTCAATTCTAAAAAATCCAAATATTTTTCTATTTTTTTTTTGTCGACTTTTGTCAACTAAAAATTTACTCTGCTCATTTCGAGTGACATGTCCTTGCAAAAATAATGGGATGGTAGATTGATTTGTTGTTGTTGTAGCAGTGACAACGTACTCCGTTGTTAATTGACTGATTGATCCGGTTATTGCTCGATTCCGGTTATTCCTCGAGCCAAAGATCCTATGGACGGAGTTGGGTAGTCTTGTCTTGTCTCTCTTTAGATCATGCAGGTCCTTCCTGACACGTCTGGGTGGGGGAGTTCTGTCCACCATATGGTGGTTAGGATGACTCCCACGGTAACACCCAAACACGTACAGCAACGAAAGCATAGGAATGTTTAATTTTTGAGTTTTATCTCAAAACCCACACAAACTCACTACTATGCGACGCGTTTCGCCGTTGGGTAAGCGGCTCGTCAGGCATATTTGGTGTGGATGATGGCTTACAAGGGTTTTTTTTTGCAAAACAATTGCAAGGCTCTTTCTTACCCTGTCCCTTAATTGAGGTGTATGGTGTGATACACATTTATATACATCCATTTTTTTTTTAATCACAAGTGGTGCGATTCTTTTCGTTCCGATATGGCATTAAATCTTTTCATAAACTTTCGTCAATAATGAGCCAAAGATATCAACGTCAGCTGTAATTTTTTTAAGTTATATTAAAGGTCTGATTACGTATCAGGTTCCACATTTACCTACAGCAATTTTAAAGCAAACTTTTAAAATTTAAAGTTTATGAAGTTTATAAAAATTATTGGGCGATCCTAAAAGTATGCTATAGAAATGATAAATATATAATCAATTTATTATTGCTCCAACTTGATGTGCTTTATGTGCACATTATAGTTGTGTTCCAGTACTTTTTTAGTAGTAAAACTAGCAGAAGAGAGAACAGTTCGAAATGTCATTCTCAATAGGTTTGCTCAAAAAATAAGGGAACGGAAAATTAGCAGAAATGCGATAAAATGTCAAAATTCCAAAAGTAAACAACCTAAATCGGACTGGTGAAACCTTACTGTAAAGAGCGCCAACATTTAAAAAATGAGTATTGAAGACGATAAGTTAAAATTAATAATTTATAATAATAATTAATAATCTGATTCCTCATTCAGCCAGTCCTCTTCACTGCTGGAATCATCCAAAAGTGAATACATCAGTTGCTCCATATTTTCTCTTTTTGTTATTTGCACGACAAATATTAGTTTTTCTTTAGTTTTCAAGTTGATCATTTTCTTTATTGAAATGTATCAATACATTTTTCAACCTTGTTAGCCCTGCCAATTAAATGTCAAATTTACAATATGCACATTTCTGCTCGGCCAAATTCATGTAGCTAAAACAAGCAGAAATGTGCACCACTCAGCGCCATTTTTTTCTCGAGAGAGCTGCAAGTTTTGCTAGTTTTTGGAGTACGGGAACGCGTTGTAGCAGAATTAGTGCTAATTAGTACTAATTTGCAGGTTCTGGAACACAACTTATGAGTGCTAGGCCGATGAGATAGTATACGAAGGATTATACATTGTCTAGGAATGCGTCTGACATTTGTATTATTGGTTTAAAAATGACTGTAGCTCACAAAAAAATGCAAACACCTTCCGCAAAGGCATTGAATATGCATTAATTACATTCTGGAAATATTCATATAAAATGTGGTAGGATATAAATTATATAGCCCTTCCAGACATAACAAAGCAAATATTAATGGGATTAGAAAATTTATTTACCTGAGTGGGAAATCATATATCTTATAAAATCATCGTACTCGTTTACTATATATCCCACAATTTCATCCGTTTCCCAACCTCAAACATAGGAAACATCTGATTAATTTATAGAATTTATCGCATTAGACGTTTAATATATATTTTCTATGGATTTTCCTTATCACAATTCTGCCTCAAAGAAAATATACAAAAATGTTCCAGGTTTCGATCTTGAATTAAGAAAGTGTGACCTCATTGTAAGAAAATCTTAAAATTTCTAGCAGTTTGAGGTTATTATGTCTCGACACGACAACCGCTATTTAATTCAACTCCTTGTTTAATTATAACGGAAACTTAAAGCAATTCCTTGTTTTCTATTTATTGAGGTCAAAATGTGCGTGTTTTTGGAAATATAACAAATTTCCCTTAAACGATGACCTATTAAAGAAAGACATTTATTTTGGGTGGGGGGAGGGTGGTATGGACGGACAAAACTATAAGGAATGAGACGAAATAAGATACCAAAAAATAAGTATGTTACAAACCTGTGTTAGGAGGAACTCCGCCTGGCACATATACAAACATTCCATCATGATAACTATAAAAAAAGAACAATCCTTGGGTGGGGGAGGAGAAGGGACAAACGGAAAGTGAAATGTGTACTGCATAGCTTGAATGCGAAGAGATCCTTGACAACAACCCATAAATGTGTTATAATAATAACAAAAACAACAACTCATTTATAGAAAACCATGTTTGTTGAGTTGTTGTTATGCGCCGTATATGACAACAGCTTTTAGTGCAAGAAAAGAATGGAAGGAAGGAAAACAAAATGAATATTGATTTAACACGGGAATGTATGTTTACCACTGGCAACGCAAATTATAATAAATATCGGTAATATCCTGTAAAGTAGTTAATAATAATGTAATGTTTTTACTGGTTGTTGAATTGCGTGTAGACGACTTGTACATATTAATTTGAAAAAGCCTACGATGAGGCGTCCTTTTTTCGATGACGGAGGTTGTGGGGTTAATTACCACAATAATAACAAAAGTTTGTCAGACAGTTTTGTAGGATTACGGTTGGGGGTGTGTTTTCAGCACAAATTGCAAAAAATAAATAAATAATACAAAATTGGGGGAGGTAAATGATATTCCAAACAAATTTTGATTGTCTGGAAGGAGAATTTTCAAAAAAAAAACTTTATATGAATATAGTGACTTTGAGGTAATTTAAATTTGAAGTTAGAAGAGGAAAAATATGTTGAAGCCATATCTAACAGTACAGGAGTTTACTCCATTTGATTATTCAACACCCCGCTCTGTCCTCCTTCCACTATTCAGGTCGACTACCACTTTCCCATCAGACAGGGGGTTTCCCAGAAGTCTACAGGATGCCATTCTGACTCAGCCTTAACGGTTACAGAATGTAAAAGCCAGCCGCCATAAGACATTAGGTGTGTCTGGTAACCTTAAAATTTGTAGCAATTGTTGTAAATTGTTACTGAAAGTCGTCAATTAACTCGAAATATCGTCAAAAGACAGCTATTTGAGAGAATAATTTTGACAGTTCTTTCACTGAGAGTTTGCAAATTCTTGCTGGACAAATTTTTTCTTGCAATCACTTGCAACTCTTCTTCTCATTCATCGACATTCAATCAGATGCTATCTATTGGTTTTAAAAATATTTTTTTGGAATAAGCAAGACTGATTGATAATTTCCTTTTATTTTAATTCTTTTAATGGGAGACAAATTGGTTTGTTTTGACCAATCAGCTGATTAGTTGCAAACTTCTGCAGGAATACCGTCTGTTTACTTTTCGCCTTTTCATTGTAAAAGAGAACAAAACTACCTTACTCTCTCAGAAAGAGGTTGCTGGACAATTCCTGCAGGAAAAGTAAACAGATACCTATTTTCGGACATGAATTCCATAAAATAAAAAACTTGGTTATATTAAAATTGTTATTTATTAATATTTCGATTTCTTAAAAACAAACTCAAACCACCGATATTTTATTGTTTCTATCGTTTCTCTTTACAGGACATTGCCGCCTTCATCAAGAAAGAATTCGACAAAAAATACAATCCCACATGGCATTGTATTGTAGGAAGAAATTTTGGATCCTATGTGACACATGAAACACGCCACTTCATCTACTTCTACTTGGGTCAAGTGGCTATCCTGTTATTCAAGAGCGGTTAAATTAGTTTGAAATAGAAATCCATAATAAAAACCAATATAACAACAACTACAACAACAAAACCAAGAAAACTTAAAAATAAAACAACAAAAACAACACAACACACATGACGAAATCATATTGTTGAACCAACAAAATTCCACAAAAGCATAAAAACAAAGCTAAGCTATATTTTACAATAAGTGTAGAAGAATACAAACAAGCAAGCGAGGATAAAATTGAGGGAAAAGTATAGGAATATAAAATTAATAAAAAAAAATAATAGTAAAAATTTTCATCCCAGAAGAAGCAAATCTCTCATACCACGAAAAGACACTATTACTTTTCTATAGAAGAAAAATGAAAAACAACAAAAAACAAATTATTTAATATTGTTTTTGCATTATCAGAACAGAAGCTACTTGGCCTGGTCCAACATGGCCAATATTTGGAGTTCCTTTTTTAGTTTTCTTTTATTAATACAAAAGAACATTAATATGTTTATAATTTTCCCCAGATAGATGTACACCAATATTCACTTTTACACAGCCATACGAACACAGGTTAACACATTTTTTTATTTATACAATTCTGCAAAATTTTAAGTATTTTTGTAATTGTAATAAAAAATAAAATTAAAAAATCCCCACAAAAAAAAAATAATAATTACAGAAACAGCATGAACTTTTTAGCTGTTTTTAATGTTACACCTTATCCACGCAGTTTCTTATTTTTCCTCATATAACTAAGTTTATTTTCAAAGTATTAATAAAACAATTATGGCCATCCACTTATACAAAATAATGCAAAAAAAAGGGAAAAAAGAATAAAAATCATTACCATTTAGAGGAATATTATATATTTGAAACTAACAGGCAAACAAAATGAAAATTCCTGACTCCTACTACAGCAGCAGAGAACAATGAAAGAAGGGACAACAAGTCATTTCCACAACCAACAACTTTGACTAAAAGTTTTTCCTTAGTTACAGCATTTGACGCCTTTCACATAGAACTTGAAAATTAGGACCAGAATAAGAATAATAATATGTACTTAATATTATTTATGATTTCATCAACTACCCAACCCCCACGTCTTAGAGGAAGAAATTAAAAGGCGAGTTTTTCCAATTTAAACAAATATAAATGTGGTGCTGTACTAATATGAAACTTTTGAATCCCAAGTGTATACATCTTTTTTAACAGTTAGGTTTGCTTTTAATAAAAGTTATATTTAAAATTTAAATGTTAAATGTATTGAGTGTTATTCATGGATTTTACTTGTATTTTTCACAAGTTCTATTTGACTTTGAAGTACTTTTTCAAACTGCCCAGAGTCCAAACGCATAAGTGCCCTAACAACAACAATCCCCTTTCCCCTCTTTATGTTTTGGTCATATATCCCCTTGAAGCTTTTCCTCAAAACTAAAGACAAAACGCAACTTAAATTAGTCTCTCACTTAAATATACGTCGTGCACTTAAACAGAAAAAAGTCATAAAAGAAAACAAAAAACAAAATTCAAAACATTTCCATGCACTTGAAATTTAAAACATTTTTTTTTTTGTTTTCCATGTTCTCTTTTATTATTATTATCATCCTGAAATGAGTGAATGATTTTCGAAAACTATTCCGCTAATTTTGAATTGTCTATGAATTGAAAATTCTTTCGTTTTTTACAACCTTTTGCTGTTTGTTATAATATCCTTATTTATTTTAGAAATAACATTTGAATTATATTTTGAATTAATATAAATGTAATTATGTATTTATAATTTTAAATAAAATTTAAGTATTAATATAAAGAAAAAATGTCTTTAATTTTTATTTGGCAAAGGGGTTTGGGAAGAAATATTTCGCATCTTTACTTGTAATGGATTTCAGAGGGATTCTTTCGTTTTTCAGTTTCTTGCTGGAATTTAATTATATTTGCATGCAGAAAACACTTCCACACTTGAAATTCAATTTCTATCAAAATCAAACGTTGAAATAACAGAGCAATTTGAAATTCTGATTATTCACTGTTTTTGGTTTAAAAGGAAGGTAGGTTAAGACAAAGTTTTCTATTAAATGTATGGGGCTAGGAGTCCAGTAAGTTCTCGATCGTTTCCGTTTCATCCACGCAGTCTATAATAATAAGGGTGACCATTTTGACTTCAAGATCCTTATCTTACAGTGACCTCTTTTAATCCACATCAGAAAGTTTATTTTTTTAGGGATATGAGCGATTTTATTATTCTCCACTAAATTTTAGTTTAAATTGATACAAAATAAATCAAAAAATCATTTGATAGTACCTCTTTAATTATTCCTTATCCCACTTTCATCATTTTCCCAGACAATCTCTTTTAATATGGCTACACCATCCATAGTCAACAATTGATGTAAGTCTTATGCCAGACTTTTCATTAATATGAAAATGTGTTTATAGACAAGAGGTATGAATGGGGTGAAACTATGTACACAACCTTCTGTAATCTGAAATTAATCCTTGTGCTTAAATTCGTAACTTTAAACTCAAGATGGTCGCACGTCATTTCTTTGATTCCTGTTAATTTTAATAGAAAATATCAACAATTTTCATATGAAAACAATTTGTGTGTAGACGTTTTCAATGAAAATATTCATAGTCTGGCATAAGACCAAAATGAAAGTATCATTTAAAAATAAGCCGTTATTTATGCCATTTTTGGAGCCATGTCGTTCTTCTTATTGTTGTCGCCGACAACTTAGGCAGCGGCTTCGAGCTCCAATGCGGCTTTTTACTTTTTCTTCCTCTTCCACTCTATTTTCTTATCGGTAAATGTTTACATTAATATTATGAATCAAATATCTCTTCCATCTTCATAGCTGTAAACACAGCCAGCCCTTCGACTCATTTCCTTGTCAAATTAATTTCCTACAAAGTAAAATTATAAAAGAATGCCAAAGCCACGTAGTATTCTAACGCCGTTGACATTGTCGAAACAAGAAATTTGATTCTGTTTCACCCTTAGTTGTTTTTAGGTTAAGTCTCCGTCATCTATTTTATTTTTTGGGCATAACAAACAAATTTTATATATTTTTAAAATTAAACATTATTACAATTGTTTGCCGCTGAAGACGGCAATAGAAATCTCAGAACTCACGTCCACTAGTTGCTTTAGGCTTAGTGTGTGATATTGGGAAGTAAATTTGTAACTACTGGCCAGAAGTTGTTATACAAAAATCACCAAATTCCAAAATATTTCTGTAGACGTCGTTTATGTGTCATTCCCAAAACACTTGAACAAATAACAAAAACAAACAAAAAATATCAAATACAACGTCAGAGACATTGTTGGCTGCCTCATCAGCAAAGTAAAACCTTAAACAGAATGGTCAGTGCAGATGAAACGGCTGTTACCTATTTGGAAATTCCTGACAAATCGGAGAATGATAAGAAGCATTACAAGTATGAGTGCATTATGTCCTGACAAATTACAAAATTTTTCATAAAATGTTACTCCTCATTCTATTCCCAGAACGCTAGTCTTGGCCAACGGTTTACATGCCCTGCTGGTATCGGATCCCAGCCCAGTGCCTCATGATGGTCTGACAACATCTTCCTGTGAAACAGGAGATTCCTGTGCCGAAGAATCCAGTGAGAGCAGTGATGAAGAATCAGGTAGCTCGAGTTCTGAAGGTGAAGATTCCGATGGGGATTCGGAAGAGGGTAAGTTTTATTAATTTATTTAATCGAAATAAAATACCATGTCCCCTTGATGCTTCTAGGTGATGAGAAACTTGCTGCCGTGGCATTACTTGTTGATGTGGGATCATTCACAGAACCCACCAACTATCAGGGTCTGGCTCACTTTCTGGAGCATATGATTTTCATGGGTTCCGAAAAATATCCCACAGAAAATGCTTTCGATGCCCATATAAAGAAATGTGGAGGATTTGACAATGCAAACACAGAATGTGAGGAGACTCTGTACTATTTTGAGGTGTCAGAGGAACATTTGGACAGTAGCATGGATTATTTTACGGCCTTGCTCAAAGCTCCTCTGATGATGAAGGAAGCAATGGCCAGGGAACGTGAAGCCGTCGAATCTGAATTCCAACAAACTCTGCATGACGATGAGGCTAGGCGTGACCAATTGTTGGCAAGTTTGGCCAACAAAGATTATCCCCACAGCACGTTTACTTGGGGCAATTTAAAGTCTTTGAAGGAAAACATTGACGATGATGTGCTACACAAAGATTTGCATGAATTTTGTAAACGTCACTACAGTGGTCATCGTATGTATGTGTGTGTACAGGCCAGGTTACCCATCGATGAACTAGAAAACCTTGTGGTTAAACATTTTTCGGATATCCCTAGTAACAATATGGATGGAAAAGATTTTGCGATCTACAATTATCGTGAGGCTTTTAGTCCCGAGTTCCACAACGAGGTTTTCTTTGTGAAACCGGTGGAGAATGTGTGTAAATTAGAACTGACTTGGGTTTTGCCACCCATGACAAAACTGTACAAATGTAAACCGGATCATTTCCTCTCATATCTGATTGGCTATGAGGGCGAGGGTAGTCTGTGTGCATATTTGAGGAAAAGGTAAATAAGAGTGTGTTGATGTGTTGAAGAAAATATTTGAAAATAAACCTGTCTTTGTTTCTAGATTATGGGGCCTGGAACTGATTGCTGGCGTAGATGAGTCTGGTTTCGATACAAACTCCATTTACTCATTGTTCAATCTATGCATTTATTTAACGGATAGTGGTTTCCAACATCTGGATGAAGTTTTGGCAGCCACCTTTGCCTATATAAAACTATTTGCCCAGTGTGGTTCGCTGAAGGAGGCCTATGAAGAATTGGCAAACATCGAGGCCACCAGTTTTCGTTTCGCCTCTCAAAAGGCAGCTTTTGATAATGTACAAAATTTGGTTGTGCGTTCCAAATATTATCCCTCCAAGGACATATTGACTGGCACTGAACTCTATTTCGAATACAACGAAGAACAAATCCAGGATGTAATCAAGCACCTGAACGAGTTCACTTTTAATATAATGATAACTTCGCAACAGAAATATGATGGCATTAATTATGATAAGAAGGAGAAGTGGTTTGGCACGGAATATACCTCCATAAAAATGCCCCAGAAATGGCAAGATTTGTGGGATAACTGCGAATCGATGCCGGAATTGTTTTTGCCAAAACCAAATCGTTTTATATCGAACGATTTCCGTTTGTTTTGGGTGGAGAATGGCAAGCCGGAAATACCTCTGGGGCCAAAGAAAATTCTGCAAACGGATATATGTGAACTGTGGTTCAGACAAGACGATAAGTTCGAGTTACCCGATGCTTTCATGTATTTCTATTTTGTATCGCCTTTGTTAAGGCAGAGTCCTAAAAAGTAAGTAACACTAAAGAGGCAGTATTGGTTAGGATTGAGTCATAAATCGTTCTTTTGTTCTTAGCGATGTAATGTGTGCTTTGTATTCCCATTTGGTCAAATATAAATTGGCTGAGGATTTGTATCCAGCCACAGTGGCAGGCCTAAATTATCAATTTTATTCAGCTGAAAAGGGTGTTGTTTTAAAGGTAATTATGCAATGGATTTTATTTGATGATCCCAATAATGTACTTCATTTTCCTATTAGACTAATGGCTATAACGAGAAACTACACATGGTGGTGGACTTGATAACAAAATCTATGGTCAATATGCGTGACCACATTACAGAGGAGCAATTGGAGGCTTTTAAGAAACACGTAAAGAAAGGCTATTTTAATGCCTTGATAAAACCAAAAGCTTTGAATAAGTATGGCAATTGAGGCTACATACATTTGCACATGAATCTGATTGTTTTTTGTTTCTGCAGAGATATACGTTTGACAATAGTGGAGAACATACGCTGGACCATGATTGAGAAATATAAATGTCTAAATGACATTACCTATGAGGATATGTTGGATTTCGCCGAGAACTACACCAAAGAGCTGTATGTTCAGGCTTTGATGCAGGGAAATTTAACCGAGGAGGTGGCCCATAATGTCATGAATTCCGTGTTGACCACATTGAATTGCCAGAATATTAAGGAGGTGGGAGGAATTAGCCAGGCCCAAATTGAGTTCTATCCGTATCTAATGGTTTACCTTTTCTTTCCAGACAAAATATATTGAAAATAGAACGGTACAATTACCCCAGGGTTCACATTATATACGCTGTCATGCCCTCAATGACAAGGATGTCAATACTGTGGTCACCAACTTCTATCAAATTGGCCCCTGTTCGGTGCGCATTGAAAGTATTTTGGATTTGCTGATGATGTTTGTCGATGAACCTCTGTTTGATACGCTGCGAACCAAGGAACAGTTGGGATATTATGTTGATTCTACGGTGCGCATAAATTATGGCATTGCAGGCTATTCGATTACGGTTAATTCGCAAGAAACCAAACACACTGCAGCGCATGTCGATGAGCGTATTGAAGCATTCCGCAGCAAAATGTTACAAATTCTCGATGAAATGCCACAGGACGAGTATGAACATGTACGGGAGTCACTGATAAAAATAAAACAGGTGGTGGATATGTCGCTCAATGACGAGGTGTCACGTAACTGGGGTGAAATAACCTGCGAGGAGTATCTCTTCGATCGCAAACGCAAAGAGGTGGAAATATTGAGAACGCTAAATAAACAAGAGATCATAGATTTCTGTTTGAACAACGAGAGAACCAATTTGCGTAAGCTGTCGGTTCAGGTTATTGGCAATGTTGGGGAAAACAATGCTGGCGAGGCAATGGAATCGGCAGAATCGGAAAATGATCACGATGAGGAAGACGCTGAAGAAGACGACGATGAGGACAACGAAGAGTTGTTCAATGCCTTGGCCAATAAATTGGACTTGAAGTTCATACCTAGAGAGGGTGATGCCACCACAATTGTCGATATCAATGACTTTAAGGAAAATCTCCATGTGTATCCCATAACGAAAACAAAAATTGAAATACCTGTAATAGATACAGAAAACAGTGATCGTTCTACACCTGGTGGTGCCATGGATATAATAGAGGATTGCTAATCTACCAACAACAACAAGAGAAACAGTGATTGACCCTTCAATATACAAATTATGTGAGAAACAATATTGCCGCAATTTATTTCAATAGACTTTAAAAAAATTTTATTCAAATTCAGAATTTGAATTCGATTGCTCTCAAAGTGTTTTTTTTTTTAATTTTTTCTATTTAAATAAATTTACTAATTTAATTCAAATAAATATTACACATTTGAAAATAAACAACAACAAGTATGAAGTAGTTATTGAGTTTCGAATTCCTTTGAGCGGAACAAATTTCCTTTGTACTTACCCAACTTTTAGGATTCGAAATAAAATAAAAGATTCGCATGCATTTACTGGTTATATGGGGTCATATTGATTTATTTAGCGATTCGTATAAAAAATATTTATAATTAATAAGATGTATAACAAAAATATAGAATATTATTTATATATTCATTGTTTGCTTATTTTGAGCATTTGTCTGCCAAAACAAAAAATAGAAAAAAAAAAAACACCATCAAATGTCTGGTCACGTAGTTACAAAAGTATTTTACAAAACGAATTTACAGAAGACTTTCTTTTTTTAGTTAACAAAATATGCATTTGCTTCAAATATATTTTTGGAATTCTATACAGTTGTTATGTAAATTAATTCAAGTCGATATTTGCACTCACAGTTATATAATAAGTTGTTTGTTTTGCTGTTATTGGGGGTCTTATAAAATAAATTTAAATGGATGACGTGTTCGAATGGGTGTATACAAGATTATTATTTTTGGACATGAAGTGATTCGTGGCGCTTTACAGGACGACTCCTTAAAATAAATAACCAAAGAAATATTTCAAAAGATAACAGGAAACAGGAAAACAAAAAAAAAATAAATTTAAGGAAATACGTTCTCTCTTCTAACACAAAAATATTATGCACAGGTTGTGTGCATATAACAATACAGTTTTCAATCTTTCAACAATTCTGCTTAACAAGGCACGCACACACGCACTCGGGTGCTGCGGTGCCTATTTAGTCTATAATTTTTGTAGCTCTGTTGCATCGTGCGGATTTTTCGTTTTCACAATTCTTGGCTTGATGTAGTCCACATCTTCGGCTGCCAGCAGAGAATCTTCTTTGGGATCGATTTTAACGCTACCGGAGCGTAGCAGAAGGCGGGATAATAGTGATGAGCTACTGCGTCTGCGTGGCAAATCTTCCAATCCCCTGTGCAGGGAGAGCTGATCGGGTTCCCGTTCCTTGGCCGTGGCCACATATTGCATGTATTCAGTTGTGTGCAGTTTGGCGGCCGTTGGCTTGCGATACAATTTCAAAAGCAATGAAGAGCACACCACGGATATAGAACTGGCAGCCATTGCCACTGAGGCCATCCATGGCTGTAGTGTAATGCCAAAGGGTGCAAATATGCCAGACGCCAAGGGAATGCCAAGTAGATTGTACATACTGGCAAAGAGGAAATTGTAACGTATCCGTTTTACGGTCTTGCGTGACAGATCTAGACATGCCACAACATCGAGCAGATCGTTACGCATTAACACCACATCGGCTGCTTCGGCGGCAACATCTGTGCCAGCAGCAATGGCAATGCCAACATCAGCCTGGGCCAAGGCCGGACTGTCGTTGACTCCATCACCCACCATGGCCACACGCTGTCCGGCCTCCTGTATGCGCTGGATTTTGGCGACCTTGTGGGAAGGTAGAACCTCAGCAAAAACACGATTTATGCCCACCTAAATGACAAAAAAAAAAACATTTAATTTCAACAAATTTCAAAATTCTCCCCCAATACCAACCTCTCTTGCAATACTAGCTGCTGTGTTCTTATTGTCACCTGTCAAGAGTATCACATCTATGCCCATTTTCTTGAGAGTATACACAGCCAAATGGGCTTCGGGCTTAACCATATCCGAAACAGCAATCATACAAATCAAATGACCATTCAGGGCACACAACACAGCTGTGTGGCCTTTTGACTCCTCCTCTGACATTGCATTGTTGATTTCCGCCGGCACTTGTATGGCATTGCGTAGCATCCATTCCCGATTGCCTATTAAGACATTAACCTCACCATCCATTATGGCCACGGAATCACCGATCACTTCCTCAGAATGTTGCACAGTTGGCATTATCTGGTCGTCCAATTGCAGTAATTGCATTTGTTGTTGGGCTACTTTTGCTCGTTCCGTTTCGCCAGAACCCCCCACCATACGGGTGGCATACAATAGTTCCGAAATGGATACTCCATTTTCCATTTGGATGGGTGCTTTTTCAAGATTATTACCATGTGAGCGATAACTGTTCTCGTAGTTGATTATCTTTTCGGCATGACAAGCTTGTCGCAGGGGCGTTTCATAATGGGAAACAGTAACCTTAATACCACAGCCGGGCACCGCTTGGAAATTGCTAGACTTGCCCAAAGATTCCTGGGCCAGCATGTCTTTGGCGAAACGAACTATGGCCGAGGCAATGGGATGTTCACTGTTCGACTCTGCAGCTCCAACAATGGTCAAAGCACGAGCCAGACTGCAAACTGCAGGCTTAACAAACATTACCACCTTCGAGGTCATGGGTGTGCCATGGGTTATGGTGCCGGTTTTATCAAAGACCACAGTCTTGACCTGTTAACCACATTAAATTCAATTCGATATTTTGGTATTGCTTGAAATGAATTAACTCACCTTATGGGCATTTTCCAAAGCCGTGGCTCCCTTAACCAAAACTCCATTAATAGCTCCAGTGCCAGTTGCCACCATCACAGCAGTCGGCGTTGCCAAGCCCAGGGCACAGGGACAGGCAATAGCCAGAACACTCAGAGCACACTTGAATGCATAACTCACAACTATGGTATTTGTGTCCATGTGTGCCTTGTGTTCCCTGGCAATTGGCACCAGATCGGGATCTACGAAACCCGCTATTATCCAGCCAATTAATGTCACACTGGAGACCACTACAACAAATGGCACAAAGTAGCCCGCAATGCGATCTGCCAACTGTTGTATGGGCGCTTTAGAGGTTTGGGCCTCCTCCACCAAGCGGACAATTTGTGCCAGTGTAGTATTCTCACCCGTATGAGTGGCGGTTATCAAGAGCACACCGTTTTGATTTATGGAGCCACCTATGACCACAGCACCCTTACGTTTGGCCACCGGCATTGATTCTCCGGTAATCAATGACTCATCACAAGTTGAATGACCATAGAGGACTTTGCCATCCACAGGAACTTTGGCTCCGGGCACCACCTTTAAAATATCACCTCTTTGCACATAGTCAACGGATATTACCTTCTCCGAAGTAATCTCAAAATCTTCAGAAATTTCTACTAGCACAGCTTCCACTGCTTTCAAGGATAGTAGTTTTGACAGAGCTTCGGAAGTTTTACCCTTGGCTATGTGTTCCAGCCACCGGCCCAACGATATGAATATCAAAAGCATCGGTGGTGTATCAAAGAATGTTAAAGGTGATGAGTTTTGTTCCATTAACACGGCAGCTATGACAACTCCCACGGAATATAAATAGGAAATAGTGGTGACCATCGATATGAGCACATCCATGTTGGTGCTGCCATGTTTTATGGCCTTGTACGATTGGACATAGAAGTGCCAGCCACCGAAAAATTGCACCGGTGTTGAGAGTAGAAACATGACCAAATTTTCCATAGACAGACCGGGTACTATGCAACACATGGCTGCGTGTCCCTTATTGTCCATTTCGACCATGAAATAGATCATGGCAATCATGCATGGACCACCAAAGAGCAAGGAGATCAAAAATGCCGTACGCCATTTGCGAATTTCTTCCTTGTGCTCCAAATAGCTGTGGGCCATTTTATCCTTGCCGGAGAGTAGATGGGCTTGAAAGCCCAGTTGTTCGATTGCTTCGCAGATATTACGCGGACCGGTGACATCGGTATTGTAGCGGAATTTTCCTGAAAAAGAAAAACGATGGAAAATAAATAGAAAATTGGGAAAATTTTTAAGAATTGATGTAAGGAGTTTTTCATAATTTATGAGAGCCCATAATGAGATAAAAAATGAAATAAAATAAATTTGAATTTTTATCATAAATATTAAAAACTTTTAAATCCATTTATTAGACAAAAAATAATTGTTGTATTATTATTGAATTTATTTCTAATTATTATTAAAAGCCATACGTATCACAAATAGTTTATAGTTAGTTTTTATAAATAAAAAAGTTTAAATCTAAAAATTAAATAACTCTACAAAATATTTTTTTTATAAAATTTATTCAATCAGCAATTTTATTAAAATGTTCAAAACGAATTTAATGAAATATTTTCCGGTTTATTTCAATATAATAAGAGTTGCTTTAAACGTGATTCATTACTTCATTTAAGGATTATATATTTGTATTTTATCTCCATATCCAAATAGCCATCATGTGCCATGATTGCGTTTGCATAACAATTGCAATTGTGTTTGAATCCGGAAACAAAATACGTAGTCAGAGTTGTAACCAATTAAGAATAGTGTCGGGTAAATAATTCTCGTGTGATGAAATTATATTTCAATTTAAATCCTACTACATTTTCAAAAAAAAAGTTAGCAAACAAAACATAAAACTAAGGATGGTGTCGTGTGAATAGGTGTTAATTCATTAAAATAATATGATAAAAAACTTGTAGTTCCGTAAATAAATCTATAGGTTTCAAAACTCACACTCCTCAAACTTAAATAGACAATCCGGATCTTGGCGAAATGTGACGAAATGATTTATTGTTGCAAGAAAAGAATAACAGTGTTAACCATATGGAATTGATTTTTTTATTTAATAAGAAAAACAGATGTTGCTGATATCATTGCGTTTAAGTGGAACAGCAACCACATTCACATGGTAGGCCATAAAGGGATTTTGATCAAAATTGTTTTTGAGAGGAAGATCTTGCATTGCACTCCCCCGACATTTCGATTCGATCAACAAAGAGCGAAAAAACAAAAATTCATTATATGCGACATATATTTTCATTAGAACGAAATACGCTTCAAATGGAAGTCGTACAATGACCTCCCTTGATCATATCGCATTTCCTGCCAACAATTGAAATCAATAATTACATTCTTCATAGACAAATCAAGGTAGCATACCCTACAATATGTGACTCCTTTTCCATGGTATCGAGGCACACTTTAGACACTTAGAAATTGATTTGTAGCTCCATTCAATTAGTATTTTATTTTCTCAAATGTACAAAAACAAAAACGCCCTGCCTTGCTTGTATGGAAATTAGTTTTGATGGATGTAAATATTGAAACGATGTTTTTCACATTTTATCTGCCTTGTACGTGTTTGCATAGAATACACATGCCTTTTGCTGATAATAAGAAATAAGTTAGCCATTTTAGGGCCTATTTAAATAGAGCACTTAACTAAGATTTGAACATAAAGAAAGTATGACTGATAACAAGAATTAGTTGTTGAGTTAGTGAGTAGTAATTCTCTAAATAACTAGGAAAATTCCAGGCATGTTTGTCGGTTGAAAACTAATTTTTCTTAATAAAATTATTTGACTTTCGAGTAATAACACAATTCCCTGTCTCTTTCTCCTTATTGGTTCTTTTGTGGACCTTTATTTGGCTGATTTGTTGTCTTAAATGTACTTGCTTTGTTTATCTTTTAGAAAGGGCGGGCGAGAGTAAGAAGTACCTGAGATGCTCTCTGAGCATCATAAGTCTTTAAGTAATTTTCCCTCTTCATTAGAGAACACAATAACGTTTGCTATGCTTTAAACATCATCGTCTCTTGAAGGGAGAGCATAATGAACAAAACTGATACACATTCCTGGTGACATAGAAATCGATATCGATATATTTCCCATTTTGACCTTTTAATACAATTTTATGCAAAAAATGATTGATTTTTAAAATTTTATCGAATTCTGATATCAATGGTTTATTTTGGGATTAAAACAGACACATGACATTGGTTTATGTGGGTGCTTTTTTTTTAATTGGTTCACACGTAACCAACCGACCTCACCGATTGGCATTATTACTCCAGTCTTATTAGATAGTATTCCAATAAGCCATACATTAAGATAAAAAAATAACTCTAACGGTCTATTTCTTTGCCTTCTTTGAACTTGAACCATTCAAATATGCAAGCGATACAAAAAAGCAATCAGCAAACAAAACGGGTTTCAATTAGACAATTGTTTCTTTCAAAATAGAAATCAGAGATTTGGTAATTTGTATCATGTTCATATCTACACACAAACAAAAATACCTTCACTTTTTGTATTAACAATGTTAATTTTGTTTTTATTTTATTTTACGATAACATTCGCCGCTGTCTGTTACTACTTGGGGAATACGGGCAAATTTAAAAGAAAATATTATTTGATAAGGGAAATTGTATTACCAATAACTATAAGAATTAAAAGAAAACAAAAAATCGCATTTAAATTGGTATCTACTGACGTCTGGTCAGTTGTAGACAAAAAACAAATACCTATAGCAAAACAAACAAGAGGTAATGAATGTAAGACATTGCTGAGACGCTAGATACCCTATAGTTTGTTATTTAAATATCTTAACATGCTATTTATTACAGATAATAAACAATTGTTTAAAGAGCTACATAGATTATCACTTAACCAGCCAAGACATTGCTCTTTTTTGATTAGATTACTAGATTACAGTTTGTTTGAATATTGTGCATTGTAGGGTACAGCAAAGTATTTAAAAAAACCTGTTCCACTGACATAGTTTTTTTTTTGGTTTTCTTCATTGTCGAAATAAACAGATCCGTGATCTTTTCTCTGTAGTCAATTAAAAAAAAGGAATGTAATTGAAAATAAAAAATTGAAAACGAAAGTAAAACGACATTTGGCAATAAGCAGATTTTAGATCAAACGTAAAAATATTTGGGGTACATGGGGTTTAATCGTTTTCAATAATAATATTGATAAACAATCAACATTTTACAAGAGCCCAACAAAGTGAAAGCGCCATAAGCAATAAATGTAGCTTACAATTTTGGCCTTTTTGAACTTTGGTTACACGCACGGAATATCTGACACTTATTCACTGTAATAAAATTAATTTTGATAAAAAAAAAACTTTCCTCTACCTAAAAGATAGCTATTTCCCTACTCTTGAGAGGTAAAATACATTTTTTCCCATATGTACATTTTTATACACACGTAGAATTAAAGTCACGCATCACGACTTTATAATTATGCGACAAAAAATCCCCACAAAAAGCATTAGCTTGCTTCTAGCTGACGCTCTGTCCGTTTTTTAATACGACAACAAAGAACCAATCAAATAGGTACATGGGTATATTAATAAAGAATTGAATGAGTCGCAAAAAAAGCTGACTGCTCACCTCGTTTTGTAAGTAATGTCACCGACGCCTCGGAAACACCTTTCAATTTTCGCACATGTGTCTCAATTTTATTTACACACGATGCACAGGTCATGCCTATTATCTCTATTTCCACCACAGCTTCGCCGCTATCCGGCTCATCAATAAGTTCCGAGGGAAATCCCAATTCAGTAATGGATTTTGCAATACTTTCTGGCGTAATTACATTGGCATTGTATTTGACTTCCGCTTTGGCCGCCAGCAAAGCCACCAATACACTATCAATTCCATAAATTTTCTTGCAATGCTTCTCTATGGTGGCCACACAACTCGCACAGGTCATGCCTCGAATATGCAAAAAACATTTCGACAGCAATTCCTTTTCTATGGGTATGGCAATGGCATTTCCATTTGTGGCAACCTGTTGCTTTTGTTGTTCGCCTGCATTGTTTAAGGGTGAGTTTTTCAGGGGCGATGAGGAAGGTGTTTTTGTTTTAGTGGGCGTAGCATTGCTGTCCATTGCACTTGCTTCAAAACCCATATCGTCTATCATTTCGGCAATGAGATCGGGTGTTAGCTTCTGACTATCATATTCAACTTCTGCCTGTTTCTCCTCCAGGCTCACTTTGATGGCCGTAATGCCCTCCCTTGTGCCAATGTTGCCCTCAATGTTGCGTACACAACTTTGGCAGGTCATGCCCACGACTCGTATGAGGCATTTTCTAGTGGAGACTTCATCTTCGTCCTGTTTATACTCGCATTCAAAACCCATGTCATCAATATCATTTGCAATCTGTTGCGGATTTGTTATGCTGCTGTCATATGTGAAGTAGCCTGCCTTTTCCTGAAGTTCCACTCGACACTTTAAGATGCCAGCCTTCGAACCAATATTGCCTTCGATGTTACGCACACAACTCTGGCAAGTCATGCCCACAATTGGAAGGCGTACTTCCTTTGTTGTTAGATTGGGTAAATCTATTTCCACTAGGTTTTGTTCACTGTCCATTGTGAAAGGCATTTTTCCATCGGTTGCTGTTGTTGTTATTGTGTTTTCTGTTGCTTATTATGTTATTACACTGCATATACACACACACACTACCTTCTTATCTTAAAACGACGACGGCTTTGTTAAATAAAGGCAAGCAAATGTTATTTTGTTGCTACACACTACTTTTTTATTATTACTTTTTGGTCTGATTAATAGACCCCGATTAATTTTGCATTGGATAATTTCGATATTACTTAAGCATATATTTATGCAAAGGAAAATTTTGCACACTTCGTCGAGATTGGATTCGATAATTGTTTATTCAAATTGAGTACCGAATAAATTCTGAGGTAAATCTTTGGTTCCTCATTTCAAGATTTTTTCCGCACGCACCTACTTTCATCCACCCGAACCGAACCATTCCATTCAACCTGAATGGATAGAGCTGGCAAATGAGCGATAACAATGTCGATAGTATTATTTTCATTTAGATGTTGTGTGAGGTTGGCAACGCTAAAATCGAGATTACCAAAAGTACAGGGTGACATAGAAAAAAAGTTTAATTTCACTCTTTTTCTGTCGTTCAGTTGAAGAATAACCTGTAACGGATTTAAAAACACAATTTTAAATAAAAATTAAAAAGGCAAACGCCAATTTTTGAACGTAAGCATAATTAAAAATTAAGTTTTGACCTCCACATTATGGTTTTGTTTATTTTTAAAATTTTTCGCATTTTTATATTGAGAAAATGCAACATAATATGAAAGACATGTTTGGGGTTCTTTGGAGTACCCCATGGCTCAATAAGAAAGGTTCCTCAACTTCAATGAGACTAGGAAAATGCAACTCTATACTGAATAAATGGGGGTACCCATGGCTCAATAAGAAAGGTTCCTCAACTTCAAAGAAACTAGGAAAATGCAACTCTATACTGAATGAATGGAATATCGGGTTTCTCCACAAAATTGATTCCATGATATTAGGGCAAGACGTGTTTATCCCAAAATTAGGCATTTTGCTGCCCGTTAACGTGAAAAATATGCATTTCTATTGTCTCTGAATTTGAAATAATCTCAAATTATTTTCTTTTTTATTTAAAACAATACACACACTTATACAACCTGTGGAAATGTTTTGACAGAATAGGGCCACATAAAAAAAATGTATTTAGAGGGAAGCTTTGTGCCATAGGTTACCCATAATGGAATCCAGGATAGAAGGAAAATATTTTTCTATCTAAAAATTGTATTTTTTTAAATAGTTTCATTTTCAATTTTTTTTCTTTTACTAATCAAACTAATACACAGACTTCTACAATCCGTGTATATGGGGCTATATCTCTTCTACCTCCTTTTGATCTAACATCTTAGGTTTACTTTATCCCTTATGAGGATTTATTTCCAAATTATACAATGGAATTGACAATTTATATCCATAGGGTTTACTAAATCAAGTAAACTGTAAGCAAATTTATGTAGTTCAAACCCCTCCCATAACACTATAGTCCAAACATAACAATTGTTCCTCCAGCTTGCATTCATTTTATTAATACTCACTTCCTTCACACATACATACATAATTAACAAATCTTTTTAGTTTTCTGTGAAGCCATTTAACAATTGATTGTTTTTGTCAATTGCACGATCTCTTAAAGAAATGTACAGTTGGTCTATCCTTGGGACAATAATCAATTGTTAAAAAAAAAATTCGACAATTTTCAAAAATAAAAATCTCTTTACAATAATCACAAAAATGCATATCCTCTAACAACGATTGATCTTTTTTAAAGCACTGCTGCATTGGCCACAACACTGGGATTGTTAACAACCTCACCGAGAGCATCCAAAACCTCTTTACGATAATCATCGAATTCGCCATCAATTTCATTGATTGTCTGTTCCTCAATGACGTACAGGGTACAGCCGGTTTCACGAATTAAACGTTCGTCGTGAGACACTATAATGACACCACCTTCGTATTCATTAATGGCCTCGGCTAAAGCATCAATTGATTCAATATCCAAGTTATTTGTAGGTTCATCAAGAATCAACACGTCTGGGGCACTCAAACACAGTTCGGCTAATGCCACACGGGCCTTTTGACCACCCGAGAGATCCTTCATTTTAATGGTGTGGGCATGGCTTACTAAGCCGAAGGAACCCAATGCTTTCCGTGCTTTTTCATGTGGCAAATTAAATAGACGTTGCAAATATTCCGCAGCAGATTCTTCAGCAGTAAGATGTTCACCGGAATGCTGATCAAAACGTCCTACACGTAGACGGTGATTCTTTCTCTGTTCACCCTTTTGGGGTTCCAATTCACCCAGTAACAGCTTCAAAAATGTGGATTTTCCCACACCGTTGGGTCCAACAATGGCAACACGACTAGTAAGGTCTATACCGAAATCGGTATTGACGAACAAAGGTTTCTGACCCTCAAAGGCGAAGGTGACATTGTGCAAACCCAGAATGGGAGGTTGCAGCTGCGATGGTTCTGGAAACCGAAATTTGACAATATATTCTTTGGGTTTCTCCAATAACTCCGTTGGTCCGTTGTCATCTTCCTGCTGTCTTTGCTGCTTCGACTTATTCTTCTCCTGTTTGCGCGTCAACGCTTCCTTTTGTTTCTTCTCTGCCGCCTTCTTGGATTGGCCGTGGGCCTTCAGTTCCTTTATTCTCTTTTCTTGTTTCTCGTACTCCTTAATCATCTCCCGACGTTTCTGGACGTACATCTTCTTAAACATTGAGTAGTTGCCCTTGTAGTAATGCAACTTCTTTTGATCCAGATGAATGATTTCATTACACACATTGTCCAAGAAACTCTGGTCGTGGGAAACAATCAACAGAGTTTTCTTCCAGCCTTGCAGATAATTGTCCAACCAAATGACAGCATTCAGATCCAAATGATTGGTAGGTTCATCAAGCATGAGAAGAGTTGGTTCCAAGTACAAAGCACGAGCCAGTGACACACGCATACGCCAACCACCAGAGAATTTATTGGTGGCACGATTCTGCATTTCTTCACTGAAACCCAGACCAGCTAAAATACGCCTAGCTCGAGCCTCAGCCGAATAGGCTCCAATGGCTTTCAATTCGGCAAATGTGTCATTTAACTCCTCCTGGACACTCATATCGCCGGCAGCGAATTGTTCTTCCAGCTCTTTGCTCTTTTTCAAGAGATTGAGGCGTTTTGTGTCGGCTTCGAGGATGGTTTCAACGGCAGTTTTGTCAGTGGCTACAACTTCCTGTTCGCAGAGTAACACATCAATGTTGGGTGGAATTGCAAAGGCACGCGTGGCTATGTGACGTAAAAGAGTGGTCTTACCATGACCATTAGGGCCCACCAAACCATAACGACGACCATGGGCAATCAACAGATTGGCATTAACAAAGAGGTCATTACCTGGGGGAGAACAATGAGACAAATGAGAATCATTTTAAAATGTATAAACTATAAGACTCTTCCCACCTTTTGCTGATATGGTAAAGTTTTCAATTTTTATGTCCACGGCATGCTCGAGGGCGGCCTTTTGGCCAGCAGTCTTTTGAACCTGGGACATTGTGAAGTTACTATCCAAATCGGAGTGGCCCAAACCACCCTTTTTGGTCATCATTTCCATTTGACGTTCGTATTCCTCTTGTTTCTTTAGTTTCTTCTTTTCCTTGTGGGTAAGCTTCTTTTCCTTGGATTTGTCTCCAGCCGTTTCTTCGTTGCCAGTAGGAGTAGATTCCTTCTCTTCATTATCTTCAGCCTCACTCTTTTCCTCGATGTTAAGATTTTCCAATTTTTCTTCTAATTCAATGGGCTTTTCAATAGACTTTTGAGGTGAAGGGGATTTTTTGACCGGCTCAGGTTCGGGCTCTGGTTCTGGCTGTGGCTCTTCTTCTTCATCTTCAGACAATTTTTCTTCCTCCTCCTCCTCTTCCTCTTCTTCACTCACTTCAAATTTACTTTTCTTATTTTTCTTGTTCGACTTTTTGACCGGCTTGGCTATGATCACAGGTTCTTCCTCTTCTTCATCAGAGTCATCATTTTCCTCGGCAGCCTTCTTAAGAATATCAATATCATTGTCATCATCATCAGAGAAATCATCTTTCTTTTTGTTCTTCTTGGACTTTTTCTGCTGTTGTTTCTTATTGGCCGGTTTAGGCACATCTACTTGTGCCTCTTCATCCTCATCTTCATCACTGTCGGCCGCCTTTTTGCCCTTCTTACCAGCCTTCTTGTTATTCTTTTTGACTGGAGCTGCTACGGGTTCATCAGCATCCTCATCATCACTATCCTGTCGTTTTTTGTTCTTCTTTTTACTAGCCACCGGTTGTGGAACTTCTTCCTCATCATCATCACTCCAATCATCTTTGCCCTTTTTACCTTTCTTGCCCTTCTTTCCACCCTTGTTTGTTGGCTGGGCTTGCTGCGATGGCGTTTTACTACTACTGCTCTGAAGACTTTCCAAGTCATCATTTATTTCATCATCTGAATCATCTCCCCTCTTTTTGCCCTTCTTGTCTTTCTTCTGAGATTTTTTGGGAGCAGCTGGTTGTTCATGCATTTCATCATCGTCGTCGAATTGATTCTTCTTGTTCTTTCCCTTATTCTTGGACATATTTAAGACTACTTTATAAATAAAAAATTAACTAACTAGGACGCGATTGGAAGTTTCTCAAATGGGTGAACTTTAAAAAATGTTTCACGTGGAATATGAGACAACTGAGTCGAACTTTTTTCAGCTACGGCGGCGTCACATATGTTTTTAACGGCGGCAATGTATCACTGAATGTATTCCTTGGATATGAAAGGCGGAAAAACGGCTGGTGATTGAGTCGCTAAGGGCAAGGTGGACCATGGTTGTGAAAGTCCCATAGCATTTGGAATCGGTGTCAGGCTTTGTTGTTACTCAATTCTGCGCCTATTTATCGATCTAATCCCATAAATCAAGTTTTTTAACGACTGTTCAGAGGGGTTACCCGTCGTCCAATGTTTTCCCATACAGGTTGGTCCAACCAATGTCCTCCAATTCCAATTTCCAAATCCAACCAACTGCTTGCTTGTGAAAAGCAAAACGAATGAGCGCGTGGGAAACAAAAATGAAAGACGTCCCCAATGAAACAAATAAGAAATCAAAAAGGAACGCCCGATAAAAAAGAACAAGAAAGCAACAAAATCCCCGAGGGAACTCTGTTGTTTACGAATGAGACATGGGGAAATCGAACCGCTGGACACATTCATTAAATGAACCGCGGGAGTAATTCAACTCGAAGAAGAAATCGGCCGGCTTTAGGTCGTCATTTTGACGCCGTTAAGAATATTAAAAAAGCTAAAAGTTTGTCAAATGGGTGAACTTTCCGCTACGGCGGCGTCACATTTGTTTTTAACGGTGGCGTTGCGTAAAGTACTTCATCACAGAATGTATTAATTGGATATGAAAGGCGGAAAGAAGGCTGGTGATTCAGTCGCCAATAAGGACGAAGTGGACCATGAAACATGGTTGTGAATAAAATACTTTTCGCAGACAAAATTGCCGACAGGTGTGTTTACAGAGAAAAAAATGCAATTAGCTGTAAGGATATAGGGATATGTAGGTTGACTTTTGGTGTTGGATCTGAAAATCGAGTTTTGCTAATAGTCAGTGTTACTGTACTGGAAAAAAATTCTCCGATTTTCAAAAAATCAATTTTTTTATAAACCACTAAGCGTGAACTTTTCGACATTACATTTTATGAATAATAAATTATATCTCGGTTTTCACGAGAACATCAGATATATTCTTAAAACTCGGGGTATAGGTAAATGAATGCGAAATAAAATCAAACTTTTATTTATTTGATTAATTAATTAAATTGTATAGACAATTTTTTTCTTTCGTTCTGCAGGCCTTTTCAATAAATTCAATAGTATACTGTGCACAGGTGGTTGCATATAAAATGGAAAAAATTCTCCGATTTTCAAAAACTCAATTTTTTTTATAAACCACTAAGCGTGAACTTTTCGACATTACATTATATTAATAATAAATTATATCTCTTTTGAACAAGAACAACGGATATATTGTTAATTTTCCTGAGAACTTGATTGGCTAACAACAAAGTTTAAAAGAATTCAAAACTAGTTGATATTAAAATATTTGCTTTATTTTTCAAACAAATTTCTCAAATACAATCAAAGTTATTCAACTGCAAATGATCTCACCTTAACTGTCGGACAAACTAAAAATTCAAATTTTTGCTAAATTTTGAAATTTTGGAAATTTTATTTTTAAGAAATAATGCCAATTTCTTGCTTTTTTGTTGTTTATGCCTTAAGATACGAAAAATTACTAAAATTAAAATACAAATTATGCTGCTGATAGAATTCTTAAATAATTATGTATCGCTTTTCCATAGTTTTATGGTTTTGTCATTTTCCAAAGCGGCCGAGGCGATTATATTCTCTGTGGGATGACAGGCCGTACACAAAACGGTATCTGTGTGTCCCTGAAGTTTTTGAACCACTTCTTTGGACTGTAAATTCCATATGTAAACCATGTTGTCTTCGCTGCCCGATACAATCCACTAAAATCAGAGATAAATAATTCTAAAATCATCTAATGTCGTACTAACATTTCGAAACTTACCTTTCCTCCTGTCACAGAAAAGTTGGCAAATATGCAGTATTTCTCATTTTTGTGTCCAGTATAGGTTTTCAAGCATTTTCCCTTGGAGTAGTCCCACAATTTCAATGTGTTGTCGAGGGTGGCGGCCAATATGTACTTTCCATTGGGAGAGAATTTAACAAAACTAACGGGTGGATTATCATCATCTATGAGAGTCTTTAAACATTGGCCACTGGCTGTATCCCAAATGCGGCAGAGACCATCATAACTGGAGCTAACAATCAGTGAACCATCGCGATTGAAATGTACTGCTGACACGGGATCCGAGTGGGCGGGCAATGTCTTTAAACATTTGCCAGTTCGTACATCCCAAATGCGTACAGACTCATCAAAACTACCCGATACTATGAGATTAGATTGTGGATTGAAATTACAGCAGAATACATAATTGCTATGGCCCTTTAAGGTCTTGAGGCATTTTCCAGAGCTGAGCTCCCATACTTTCAAGGTCTTGTCATCACTACCGCTTACCAAAAGCCTTGAATCGGAAGACCAGGCCACATCAGAAATGCCCAACTTGTGACCCGAGATGGTTTTTTCAAATTTGCCATCGTATGCACCCCAGATTTTGATTAATTTATCGGCCGCTATAAAAATAAAATGTTGCTGATGAAAAACGTGTCATATTTTTTGTTATTGGCGATACACTTACATGAACTGGCCAACCATTCGCCATTGGGTGAGAATTTCACGGCAGACACGGCCTTAGTATGGCCGGCCAAAGTAAATTTCAAAGTGTAATTCGGCTTAATCGACAACGAGGACTTGTTGGATGAAGCAGATGTGTTACCACTCGACTGTGAAGATTGAAGGGTATTGGGTCCGGCCGGTGGAATGGGTTGGGGAGCATGCACTCCGGGATGACCACCATGCACTGGTCCTATGGGAACCATTTTGTCCTAGTTGCTACTTTCCCACGCCAACAGTTTTCCTCAAAGCAAAATATTGCCGTTTGTTCGAGACGACGACCACCAAACCAATATTAACCACCACCAACCAACAGTTCTAGCTTCCTCTCTCTACACACAAACAATTTTTGTTGTCAGAAAACCTCGTGCTTTTGTTGTTGCTTTTTAATTTGACATCTAGTTTAGTTTGGCACGATGCTTGTTTGTTTACTTCTTGTAATAGCTTTATTTTGATCACAATTCGATAATGTTTTGCATTTCAATTAGAAATAAATTAAAATTAATTGTATTTTCGCCTTAAATATTTAGTAATTATTGTTATTATTGAAGAAAACTCTGCGTGCACATGAAATTTTCGGCGTTTGATACTAAACTTAAATGCAATTAGTGATGGACGTAACGTAAGCAGTGAAACAGCTGTTTATAGGGGTGCTTTAGATGTTGTGATTACAATGGAATGCCAAATATAAAGGTGAGTACACAATGGATAAAAAAATCAATAAACTGTGGGACAATTAAAGGCCTAACACTAATTTGGACATTAACTAATATGTGTGATGACTTTTCCAGTAAAAAATAGTGAGTAATATGTACTATTTTTTATATTACGTAGAAATATTGCAAAAATTAATAAAGAAAGTAGCTGTTTCGCAAAATATATACGTAAAAATGTTATTCTTTTGAGAAAATCGAAACAAAACAAAAATTTTGTAGTGAAATATGTGTTATTTATTGGTATGACACAATATTGAATGCTTATTACTTGAAAAATAGTAACAATTCTTAATTTATTGTGTAAAATTTTAAAACATTTTCAATTAGAGAATAGAGTTGAGTTCGATTTCGATTTCGAGTTGTTGTTTCGAATATGTTGCAGAAACTGCAAGAATGTTAAAATGTTGCTACGATATCGAAAAATTTTCAAAACTTGATTATTCTTCCAAGAACGGAGCATATATATTTCCTTAAAATATTTTATAGATATTATAGCGTATTTACATGGTTGGATATTAAATCACCGGATTTCATAGAATCAGTTGCTAAATCGTAAGTGTTTATTTTAAACGCTGTTAAGGATATGTATTTTTGTTTGAGTTAATCTTTCGACAATTACATTGCAGAAGAATATACGTAGACTCATCGACTCATCGAATGGACTGTCAAATTAAATTTGGAAGTAAAAATGAATGAAAATTTATTTGAATTTATAAAAATTGTTGAAAAAACTCGAATTATAATTACCTCAGAATGACGTCGTATAAAAATCTACTTATAGTTGAAAGAACATTAATTTTTTTTTGACAAAGCAATGTTCCCAAGCGTTGATGCATCTACCTGTATTCTTCTACCATGGACAATTAACAACAAAAACTTATAGATGACTTTTAAATTATAGCTGTATTATGGCTCTGTTTATGCTCCGGAAAATGGAAACTAAAATATTTTTCATTTCAAATTTTCCTAAGACAAAAACTCGAACGCTGAACTTGGGTAATATGTTATGTCGCTATTGAGTATTAACCCACCGGAATTACTAGAGCCAGTTAATAAATCTTGTCTGTTTAGATACAAACTTTGGAGGATATAAATAGTAAATGTGTTTGAATAAATCCGGATTAAGAAATAAATCCTGACAATGTGGGTTAATCCGGATAAAATATTGTAGCTAAACGTGCTATTAAAAAACAGCTGTTTGGAAAATCTTTATGACTTTTCGATTTGTTATGTGTAAACGCCAGTTAAATTTCTTTGACTGTACATGGTAGAAGAATACAGATAGTCGCATCGACACAGCTGCTGGGACAATGATCTGTCAAACCTATTTTGGAAAAAAAAATTTGTTAAAAAAATGCATATCATAACAAGAAATATATATAAATTTACTTATTTTTGAAAAAAAAAAAAAAAAAAAACAATTTTTTACATATCAATCTTCCCAAGCGTTGAAACATCTATCTGTATTCTTCTACCATGATACTCCCATAACTGGTTTAGGCCACTAGCCAACATGCACATGTACATAATTTTCTATTTATGACCCTATTGCAACTTCGTAAAATTGTAAAACATAAAAACAACTTGCACACGTCGGTGTCATGTCTTGGTGTTCCCTATTGCAATTTAGACCAAATGAATTGATTGATTAATAAAACACACTCTAAATAAATCGGAATGTTGTTTTTCTTATTTAAAATACAATATAATTTTCTTATTTGGGTTTAAAGAGAGGATATTTACAAAAATTATTCGTTTAAAATATTCTGGTGTCGTTTCATATTTGTACTGGCTTGTCTTTGAAAAGCATTTTATCTCAAAACAGTTATGGAACATTTAAGCATAACACAGTCGCAATGCATGAATGAGTGTATGTATGTACCTTTACAACATCGTTTTAGCGGTTTTTTTCTGTTGGAAAGTGATTGAGAGGAAGAGAGATACGACTGTAATTATGATTGCTTTGAGGGATATAACGTAACTTTGCAAGAAAATCATTTTGAAATATTAAAGTTTGCATAAATCAACATACACATACACCACCAACATAGTTGCCATAAAAGAAAGACAATTTTTTGTTGATTTTTCAATGACACAAATACAGTGGTATGACATTTGACAACTCACTGGGCGATCGAAAAATATTTTGGTTTGACATTTCAGCAGTGACGATGCGTCTACCTATATTGTTCTACCATGTCATTGACACTATCTTTAATAAGTTCTCACAAGGCAAATTTCGCCAATAATTGGTCTGTCTGATTTCCTTTCCTGCAAGAATTGTCCAACAACTTTGTTCTCAGAGAGTAGGGTAATGTTATTCTCTCCGGTAAAAACTTGCTGATTTGTCAAAACAAAAATAAAAATGTAAGGATAAGGATGTAAGGACCCTCTTTGGATATCTTTATTGAATTCCTTCTTCTTTCTTTTCGATCTCCTTTCAGCTCTTCAAAAAAATACAATAGATCTTCTGGAATATAAAACCTTCCCTAATCCACTTACTTTGACGTTATAAATAAAAAAAATTGTCACACCACATAGACAGTTATAAAACAGGTTTGAAGTTGAAGGTCGGAATTTCATTTGCGTATGATTTTTTTTTTGATTTGTTGTTAATCCACTTTCAGTATTTGTTTCTTTCTATCGTTTTATTGAACTTTGAATTTCTCAAGCACCGATAAAATAATGAATTATAAAATGCAGTGCTTTTCAAACTAGGGTTACTTAACATATTTTTTTTTCGTTGTTGTTCCCATCAACAAAAACAACAACAACTAATAAACTTCATTAATAAACCAAGCTCATAATTATGTTGTACGCTTCCTAAGCTGTTGATTGTTTTGCTTGTCTTCAAAGTCTCCAAGCCATTTCAGTGTGTATTGGAGGGGGACTATTTGGGAATTATCTTCACGCTGGGCTTTTGAGTACACAGCTCACGTTTCAGTTTAAAACGCGACTTAAAACCTAAAGGTTGTCTATCTTGGAGCACAACAATAAAACAAAATCAAGTCGGAAGAGAAGACAGCAACACGGCTCAGTTGATTGTCAGCTAAAAAAAAAAACAGCAAAACATTAAAAGTTGTGAATATTATAATTATATTTAAAAAAACGCATAAGATTGTTACAAAACCAAAACAAAGTCACACAAAATGACGATTGAAGTTGAAAAGAAATTAGACGAAATGGAGTTGTGGCTCAAAACGCAAACTCAATTGCCTCAGAAAATAGGTAAACAAACCAAAAAAAAAAACTAAAAACGAAATAAATTAATAACTTTGAAATATATAAATGTATTACAAAACCGAAGTAAATTTCTCAAAAAGTTTCCACACTCAACTTCAACTTGAACAAAAGAAAATAAAATTGATCAAAGTCGTAATGGTTTTTGCCCTTGACAGCTATTAAATTAAAAAAGTCAGGTTTGCTTATTTTTTTCTGTTAAACAAAAAATTACTTGTTAATATCAAGTGGGTCATAAAATTGTAGAAACGATGAAATTTATGGCAAACTTTGACGACACAAACCTGCTGATTGAAAATACTTTGAGGTTTATAAACTCAAAGTATTTTCAATAATTGTTTTTGAAATAATTGTTTTTGTTTTTTTTTTTTTTTTTAAATAATCTATTTTGTAAGGTTTAGTCCCAAATTAACATGAGGTGAAATTTCAAACAAACGTCTTGATGTTAAGATGGGAATTTGGCCCATGTGATTTGACTTTGAATACCCTCCACCATTTGGAACGACTTTGGCAATTCTCAAAAAAAAAAAAAAAAAAAAAAAACATTAAAAATTCTGTTCAAAATCTTAAAAATACCGAATGTAGCTGTTATATTAGGGTCTATACGGGGACATGGACCTGCCTAGGTAACTTTTGTCATAAGCCATTACAATATCCAAATGCGAAACTTGAAAAAAAATCGGTGAAAAATGTATCTAAAATCATCAAAATACCGAATATCCGGAGGTACCGTAATATGGGGGCTATAAGAAGACGTGGACCTGCACAGACAATCTCCTGTCATAGGCTGCAGAATCCATTACGAACATCAAATATTAAATTTGAAAGAATTCCGATGAATATTGTCGCTAAAATCATCAAAATACCGAATATTGAGAGGTACCGTTATATGGGGGCTATACCAAAACGTGGACCTACAAAATCCTGCAGACGTAATATACATTTGAGTAAAATTTTATCGATCTACTTCAATTCGTTCGGTAGCTAGAGTGATTTCCACAGACGGACCGACATCGCTAAATCGACATAGAATTTTATGCTAATAAAAATATATACTTTGTGGGGTCTAAAATGTATGTTTCGAGGTGTTACAAACGGAATGACAAACTTAATGTACCCTCAATACTATGGTGGAAGGTATAAAAAGATAAAAAACAAATCAGATTATTTGACAGAATAACATTTTGTTTTTTTTTTTTCAAACGACCAAAAAACGATAAAAATAAAGTCAATCCAAACATTAAAAAATGGGCATTTTAATAACTGCCCAAACCCGCCATCTTTTCTGGCGAAACTCGACGATAAGAAATATTTCTTCTTCTTTATCTTTGTGGTCGAATAAAATCAAGCCTGCATGATACGGGAAACCATTCTTTAATTAGTTGTCTTTTAAGGTGAGAATACATAAAACGCTATTCTGACTGGCTTCTTCGGAAAAGACTAAAGGAGCCTAGGGCCGAAATAAAACTAAGTCAACTTAATACTCCTTTGTTTCGCTACGAAGAAGCCAGCCAATGATTTTAGCCAGACAAACAAACCTTTTATGTACTTTCACCTTTAACGTGGGAATACATAAAACGCATTTCTGACTGGCATAAGTCATCGGCTGGCTTCTTCAGCAAAGAACAAAGAAGCCTAGGGCCGAAATCGAACTAAGTCAACCTAATACTCCTATGTTTCGCTACGAAGAAGACGATGACTTAAGGTGCAAGTACATAAAAAGCTTGAAGTCATGGCTAGACATATTATTGTCAAATTATAATGGAAAACGACTGCAGGATTTTAGTGCGGCTCTGTAATTCCTTTATAAAATGTCCAAAAATATGCCTAGCCATGGTGTTTCTGCAAATATAAAAACAAGATTTAATAGCAAAATGATTTAATGTGTCAAAAATTTAAAAATGTTTTTTTTTTTTTTCAAAAATAAGTAGATTTTTATGAGTTTTCCTATACGACGTCAATCGGAGGTTGTTTTGATATGTATTTTTCAACAATTTTAACGAATTTGAATTATTTTTCATTTAAAAGTTTCAATTTCAAAATTGGTTTGACAGTTCATTGTCCCTGTATTCTTCTACCATGATTGGGACATTGCCCATACAGGTAGATGCATCAACGCTTGGGAGCATTGATATGTCAAAAAAATTTAAATGTTTTTTTTTTTTCAAATATAAGTAGATTTTTAAATGTTTTCTTATACGACGTCATTCGGAGATTATTATAATTCGCGTATTTCAAAAATTTTTACAAATTTAAATAATTTTTCATTCAAAATTTTCAATTTCAAAATAAGTTTGACAGTTCATTGTCCCAGCAGCTGTGTCGACGCGTCTACCTATACTCTTCTACTATGGCCCATAGGTTAACGACTTGTTTATGTAAAGTAGTCTAGACACCATCGATCATGTATGTAATATATGACAAATTGATGATGATGATAGGATTGCCACGTTTTATTTGATCAAAAGTCAACATGTGTCTTGTCCAATAACTCCTCAGATTGAGATAATAAACTAGAGAGATAATATGAGATAATAAACTTCCGGGTTTTTATCTCAATGAAATGTAATTAGAAATTCTAATTTGGCAACAAGAACTAGATAAAACATTAATGCGATGCGTAGTCTATGTTAAGTCGATTATGTAAATAATTCCTCAAAAAATTCCTGTTAATTTCTTTGCTTTTTAGTCGGCTGTGTTGATATGGAACGCATTTTAATAAAATGTGCTATTGAAATTGTCAAATCCCTTAATTGAACGTAAAATAAAAAACTGCGTTTAGTAAAACACAAATTTGATTTATTTCAAAAATAATAAGCAAATGTTATTATTTTAGATAGATGGATGCTGAAACGTTTTCTTTTGTGCATGGAAGGTGATAAAGATGCTGCTCAAAATCTATTAATCACAAATTATAAAATGCGCAATAAATATGATCATATTTTTATTAAACGCGATCCAAAGTATGAGAGTTCCGAGAAGGTTGTAAAAGTAGTGTAAGTATTAAACCAGTAAGGAAAGCTCAAAAGTCGGGCGGGGCAGACTATATGATACCCTACACCACTATGCATATTTAGTAGAGCTCTCGTAAAAAGGTTTATACAGGGCATTTCAGAGCTCTATGGTACATATTTGGTACAAAATCAAAATCTATCTAATTCTATCGTGCATTTTACGAACTATAGCTATCTCTGAACCGGGTTTCTCCAAATTTGACGTATTAGCTTCTAGACTGAATTCGGTCTTATGTACGAAAATTCAGGTGATTTGGGCTGATATTGGCCATTTGATGCACAATTAACACGAAATCGGATGAAGATATATATGGGAGGCATATCCAAATCGGAACAGATTTTAATAAAATTAAAATCAACTATTTTTGGGCTTTATCTGATATCTGGTACCAAATATCATTCCTGTGGAGTGCATATTACGAATGTGAGGAACTTAAAGACCAAATCGGATGAAAGATATATATGGCAGCTATAGCTACATCTGAACCGATTTTTACTAAAATTGGTGTACTTGCTTCTAAGCTGGTTTCGGTCGAATTTGCCAAAATTGATGCTATTACGGCCATTTGTTGGTCAATCACCCGAAATCAGATGAAGATATATCCAAATCTGAACCGATTTCGATAAAATTTAAAACAGCTATTCCTGTGCTCCATCTAATACCTGGTACCAAATATCATGGTTGTGGAGTGAATATTACGAATGTATGGGACTAAAACTCTAAATCGGATGAAACATATTTATGGTTGCTATATCTATATCTGAACCGATTTTCACTAAATTTGATATACTTGCTTCTAGGCTGAATTTGGTCCGATGTACTAAAATTCAGTCCATTTGGACTTATATCGGCCATTTGGTGCACAATTAACCCGAAATCGGATGAAGATATATATGGGAGCTATATCCAAATCTGAACCGATTTCGATAAAATTACAAACAGCTATTTCTGGGCTGTATCTTATATCTGGTACCAAATATCATTCTTGTGGAGTGCATATTACGAATGTGAGAGGCTTAAACACCAAATCGGATGAAAGATATATATGGGAGCTATAGCTATATCTGAACCGATTTTCTCCAAATTTGATATACTTGCTTCTAGGCCGAACTCGGTTGGGTGTGCCAAAATTCAGGTAATTTGGACTGATAGTGGACATTTGGTGCACATTTAACCCGAAATCGGATGAATATATATATGGGAGCTATATCTAAATTTGATCCGATTCTCACCAATTTCAATAGGGTTCGTCCATGGGCCAAAAAAATATTGTTTAGAAAATTTCATCTCAATCGGATAATAAATGCGACCTGCATTTTGTTCACAAGAATACATGGACAGACGGACGGACGGACGGACGGACAGACGGACTGACATGCATAAATCGACTCAGAAAGTGATTCTATGAAGGTTCTCAAAAGTAACTATGGGTCTATCTCGTTTCCTTCTCCATGTTACAAACAAATGCACAAAGACATAATACCCTTACCACTATGTGGTGTAGGGTATAAAAAGGAGCAGCAGAAATTGTCTTTAGTTTATATAACAGAATGTGTTTGTTTCAGAACCTGCAGAAATTTACTATTTTTGGAATTTTTTCGTTATTAAAAAAGGTTATCGTAGTAAAAAAACTTACTTTCTTGCAGTTCTGGAACAGATCATATATAACAAAATATGATATGTTCCAGAAGCTGCAAGATTGTAAACATGAGAATACATAAAATGCTTTGTTGACTGGCTTAAGTCATCGGCTGGCTTCTTCGTAGAGTAACAAAGGAGTTTTAGGTTGACTTAGATCGATTTTGGTCCTATGCTCCTTTGTTATTTTACGAAGAAGCCAGTCGATGACTTAAGCCAGTCAAAAAAGCGTTTTATGTATTCTCACCTTCAAATTTTTGCTACAACAAGCGATTTATACCTTTATGATATCGAAAAATATCATATCATAGATTCTTACAGGCTTAGGAACATGACAATAGTTTCGTAATATTTTTTTTTATTGTTTTTTCGTAGCGACTTCCTTACCCTGCCTGGCTATACACCGGAAAAATATAAATTGATTCTCTATCGTTTGGCAGATACCGATCCAGATAAGGTATTGTTTTCTCTTATTGTCTTACGTTTACACGCAATCAAAATATTTACCCCGTATTAGTTAAATATACATCTTTAAGAAAAGCACTAAATATGCTAAGTGGCTTTCATGTAGACTAGCATAATTAACAAAATAATAAATGCTAATGCTATGTATACATTAAACGAGTTCAATAAAATCTGGTCATTTAAATTTCCTATTTTTATAGAATGTATATCAAATTAGTGAGAAGTTTTATCAAAACCTGTTTAATGTATACATTGTCTTATTTTTATCTTTCTGTCGTTACAGTTTAATGTCAACGAAGTTTTCCAAGTGTTCTTCATGATGGTCGATAGCCGTTTCCGGGAGTTGTGTAATGAAAATGCCATTGGTGAAATTGTCGTTTTCGATATGACGGGTTTTTCATTGAGACATTTGTCGAAATTCTCCCTGGGCACAATACGCCTGTTTATGAAGTACATACAGGAAGCACATGTGGGTCGAGTCAAGGGTGTACATGTTATAAATGCAGCATCCTTTTTGGATAAGGTGATGTTTTTGGTGAGACCTTTTTTGAAAGGTGAATTGATAAATGTGGTAAGTATGTGGTGAGGGAGATAGAATTAAAAAAGGTAGTCATGCAATCATGTGTTTAAACCGCTATATATATTTAAATTATATTATATTTATATTTTTAAATCCATTGTATACACACAAATAAGAGATGGGAACCTGTTTTCTATGCAGTGAAATTTGATAAGGTTAATTACAAGAAATCCAGAGATGGATATGCTAATATTAAATGACTTTACCTTCTTAATTAAATATTAAGGTGCAGGTACATAAAAAGGCTTTTTTTGGCTGACTTAAGTCAAAGGCTGGCTTCGTAAAGGAACAAAGACTCGTAGGGTAAACAAGTGTAAATTATGAAAAAAAAAAATCGATCTATGTCAACCTAAAGCTACTTTCTTCAAAGACATGAAATTCAAAGATAGGACAAGACAGTCAAAATATGGCAACCCTGGTAGAAGAAAAGAGCTAGCCGCATCGACAATTAACTGTCACTGGAACAATTAACTGTCAAATCAATTTTGGAATTGAAAATCTTGAATGAAAAATTATTGAAATTTGTAAAAATTGTTGAAAACTACATATCATTACAACCTCCGATTTGCGTCGTGTAAGAAAACATATAAACAATATCTACTTATTTTTGACAAAATACAAATATGCCATGTGAAGCGTTCAAGCTGCTTATGTATCCACACCTTAAAGCGCTTATTTATTTCCGAAGCAGCCATATAAACACTTTATGTATTCCCACCTTTATGTACTTCCACCTTCAGTCATCAGCTGGCTTCTTCCAACGTAGGGTAAAAATAGGTATTAATTAAGGGCCAAAATCGAACTATGTCGACCTAAAACTACTTTCTTATTTTTTTACGAAGAAGCCAGACAAAAAAGCGTTTTATGTGTTCTCACCTTTAATTTCACCATAAGAAGTTATTGAAATGTGTTAAAATCGAGTGTTTTCTAATTGCAGTTACATTTTCACATGCCGAACACGGAGACAGCTTATAAATTTTTCCCCCATGAAATGTTGCCCGATGAATATGGTGGCAAGGCTGGCAAATTGCAGGATCTGAGAGAATTTTGGGTAAAGAAATTAATGGAAAATAGGTAAATATAAGAAAAAACAATAACACCTTGTGGTGGAAAATAATCGATTTTATTATTTCAGGGATTTCATTATTGATGAATCCAGATGGAAAATGAACTCATAAAACAAACACTATGTGACTATATATAAATGTGGGTTTAAGGGGCTTGCATAATAATTATCCGGCAAAAAGCTGTAATGTAAACATACTATAATCTAAATATAAATTAAAGTATAATACTAGGGGGGAGACACATAAAAGTATCTATTCCTGGCTCAAATTATTATAAAGGTTTTTTTTTATAATAATTTAAACAATACATCTATTCCCTCAAATTTTTTTCAATCAAATTTAAAATTTTTTAAATCTACACTTTAAAAACCTTAAAATACTGTATTATTTATTAAAAAGTTTATTTAAAACTTTCCTAAAGTTGTACCAACATTTCGATTTTTTCCCTAAATATGCTATCGATTTATTTAGTCTTATAATCGAATTTGTTTTCGTTGTTGATTTGATTAAACTTTTAGTAAAATATATTTAAAATAAAGTTGTTCTGTTTATAAAATAGAAAAATATTTAATAAACAATTCGTTTTATTCCTGTGTAAATGCTAGGTTAGTGTCTGGCTGATTTCAGTTGCTGACTAAAAGTACGTTTACATTTATGAAATTTACTCGAACTCAAATGCCAATTCCATAGCGTATGTGTCAAATTATATTCACTGGATATATGAATGCGAATTATGTGACGTATTCGCACATCGCATGCTCTAAGACTATGTTTACAATGAAGCTATTTATCATGATATTTTGGGAGATTGATTTTATAGCGCTTTATGTATTTCCACCTTAAGACCTGTTGTTTAAATTCAAATTATTTCTAATGAATATAAACACAGAACGACATTTTTGCATAAAGCGTGTGCATTCTATGCCATTTAGGCGATTTACCGTAAAAAACACTCACACTTTAAAGACCCTCGGCAATCGTTTGCCTTGAAAATTTCCATTAAATTTACCTTCAAATTTGAAAGCTGGCTCTAAATTTCCACCTTCATGGACGAACTTTAACCTTAAATTTAAATAGATTCTAATGTCTGCAAGACCAAATGCCAAATGGATGAGTAATTTCACAAAACCTTAGCCCACCACACCGGCAAAAGCAAGTCGTGAAAACCGAACAAAAAAAAAAAAAAAGAAAATAAAAGAAAGAAAAATTGCATTTTAAAATGTTTGCCATTCACATTAAGCTGTGCCAACAACTTTGTTACAAAAAGGGGAAACAAAAATTTGCATTGGGAATTTAAACTGTTCAAAGGTAAGCGCCCCACCAACCAAGAACCAGCAAAGCAAGGGGAATGTAAACAGCAAAAATACAAACGATACGATGCGCTTGCAAAATGCAAATTAACACACTCACCTCCATGGCTGTTCAGCGCGTCATTATCATCGTCGCCGTCGACGACCGCCAGGATTATCGTTACGACGGTTCCTTGTCGTTGTTCAAACAATGCAAATCACCTCTGTGAACGAATGCACTTCCTGTCCCTGTTTGAAGTTTCAACAAAAACAAAAAAAAAAAAAAAACAAAAACATAAAAACCATCATCACTGTCGTTGGCAGAACAAAACACTCAAAGGGCCTAACATAATCATCGTCCATTTGAGAATGAGAAATAAAAATAAAATGGGGAAAAAGAGTGGGGAAGAGATTATTTTCCCGTTATGGGTTTGAGAGGGGAACGAGAGGGGAACACACAAAGAGAGCCATGTTGATGATGTGGGAGAGGGGTTTATAGATCTGTAGTCAAACCATAGACAAATAAAGGTATAGATTAAAGAGTTGTCTCATCTGTTATCTTCGAAAAAAGTGCTTCAATAGATGTCGTTCATGCTGTGAGAGAGCAAATCTCAAAAATTCTAAATTCTCTCGAAATACAAAATATTGAATATTTTTATGATTTATTATTATTAATCAATTGAAAATGAAACAGTGACTTTGTTTACATTGACATTACCCAACTATGTCGTGATATATAAAAAAATAGAAATTAAATAGCTGAAAAATTAATATTTTTTTTCGAAATCGAGTTACTTCATTTTACCGTCCCAAGATCCCATAGTGACATCTATCGGAAGTGGTAAAATTTAAAACTTTTTATATATTATAATTTTATTTTTCTATAGTCAAACTACAGTGACTTTGGGGGTCCTTGTTTTAAACTTTTTACGTTCCACAAGATTTTCTTTTTTAAAAAATTGCGTTTGATAAGGTTTCTACAGATAACATTAGTTCCGCAAAACTGTCCGCGGAAAAATATACGTTCCACAAAATTTTTCTCTTTAGAAAACAACATGTTCCACAAAATTTAGCTTGACGACTATTGCCTTCCACACTATTTCCACAATTCACTATTCACGTTCCATAAGTTTCTCAATGAAAAATTTTATTTTCTACAAAATTTCCCTATGAAAGAAATGTCCCCCATAAAATAATTAATTCTCTTTTGAAACTACCCGGAAATACTACATTCCACATAATATTCGATACAAGAATATTAAATCCTACAACCTTTTCCACCGACAATATTATTGTTTTCTTATATTTTTTCAAAATAATTTGTTTGGGCTCTCTAAGGACTACAAATACCCATTAATTTCAATAAAACTTCTTCGAACTTCGAACATGTTCGAGCTTCATAGAACTCATGTCAATTGAACAATTGACATGAGCATGTGCGTGTGTGTGTGTTGTTTGTTTGAAAGAATGTTATAAATCCCATTGTCAAGCGCTACAATAAAAATTGGCCTTAAGCTTCAAGTTAGTTCGTAGTTAAATGTCGGCGAAAGTAGAACGTAAAATTGCCAAGAAAATCCAATGTAATCGACGAGTTTACGATAGAACGCAATAATTCTAGTGAAATTCTATAAGAAATGTTTAAAAATCTAAGAAAATACAGAAAAGAATAGATTTCCTTGAAACAAATGAAATTGTGAAAAATGGGCCTAAAAGTATGCTTAGGATTTCGGTTCAACAGACAAGTGCTAGTCTAGAGGAAATCTCAAACGAATGATGTGAGCTGTGTTGGTAAACAATAGAGTTCATCGGGTTTATGTGCGTCTCGTGTGTGTGTGTGTGTCTGAATGTCAGTATGTCGCAGAAGTAACAAAGGAGTTGTAATTGAAATGAAATTGAAATAAAATAAACAAAATTACCACATCAAATTCCCCTAAGAAAATATTTTCGAAAATTAAAAACCCCGAAAAATACCAAAATTACGTAAGCCAATTTCTTTTATTTTTTTCGTGTGTCACATACCTACAAACATACATTCTTACAATTGTCAAGAAAATTGTTTGTGTAGTTTACCATTTTATTATGGCCACAATTAATTTAAGTGTAACGTTTTAGTTGTTGTTGTTGTTGTTATTGTCCTCCTGATGTAACTGTGTGTGTGTGTGTTTGTGGCTTTCCAGCAATTTTCTACACATTTTATTTTTCTTTTTGTCTGTCTTTTTGACTTTAACTATAGTTTCACTTTAATGTAGTTAGACCTCTCCTCCTCCGCTTGCCGCGGGACAATAACTATTGCTGACATGACTGTCTGACACCTACCCAACCATTCCATGGTTGGGATTTCTTGTAATACTTATTATAAATATCCCCCCGATAGTTGGGCTGCACTACGGTGCTCCCACAAGCGTCTAAACGAACAACCCACACACAAACATGCTATTTGGGCTCTTTTTTCACTTGCTGTGTATGTGTGTGCGTTCAAGTGTGTGTGGGTGTGTGTTCGCTTTTCCATCAAATGCTGTCTTTGTTTGTTTGGGGTGGCGGCATGTCGTTGTCATAGACAAAAATTCTGCAATTTTCATGTACACCACCACCAAACAAATGATGACTGTTGTTGTGTCGTTCAGATGGATGGATGGATGAATGGATGGATGGTCGGTTGGTTGTAGTTGTTGTTCTTTTTGTAATCGTGCTTGCCATACTGCTAAAAAGGGTATATTAGGGATTGCATTTTGTTTGTAGCTGAGTGGAATTTTTGGAATTTGCTAAATTTTGCATTACATTCCACAACAATTTTTCGGACTATTTTACATTCCACACGATTTCTTCTTAGAATAATTACAATTCCACAAGATTTTCCAGAGAAAAAATTACATTCCACACGGATAATATTACACTCCACAAGATTGCTATGGCAAATCTTACATTCCACAAAATTTTCGACAGAAAATATTACATTCCACAAAATGTTTTATGGAAAATATTACATTCCACAAGAATTTTGAAAGGAAATAAAACATTCCCCAACATTTCCCATGCACATTATTACATTCCACAAGACTTTCTACAGAGAATCTTACATTCCACAATTTTTTTATAGAAAATAACAAGATTTTTTATGGAAAAAATGAATTTCACAAGAATTTTTTTAAAGAAAAATTTACATTCCACAATAGTTTTGTACAAAAATATTTACATTCCACAAGAATTTTCAAAGAAAATATTATATTTGACAATAATTTTTAAAGAAAATATTACATTCCACAACATTTTCTAAAGAAAAAGTAACATTCCACAAGATTTTTATATTTTTTTTTTTCATAGAAAATAATACATTTCCCACGGTTTTCTATGCAAATTATTACATTCCACAAAAACTTTTATAGAAAATATTGCATTTCACAAACTTTTCTGTGGAAAATGTTACATTCCACAAGAATTTTTATGCAAAATAATACATTCCACAACGTTACCTACAAAAAATATTACATTCCGCCAGATGTTTATAATTTTTTTCATTGAAAATAATACATTCCCCACGATTTTCTATGCAAATTATTATTTTCCACAAGATTTTCTTTGCAAAATATTACATTCCACAAATTTCTTATATAAAATATTACATTCCAGAAGAACTTTCGAAGAAAATATTACATTCTATAAGATTTTCTGTGGAAAATGTTTCGTTCCACAAGAACTTTTATAGAAAATAATACATTCTACAAAGTTTTCTACAGAAAAGATTATATTCTGCAAGATTTTTATAAAAATTTGATAGAAAATAATAGATCCCACTAGTTTTTTGTGTAAAATAATACATTCCACAATAATATTTATAGAAAAGAATACATTCTACAAGATTCTTTACAGAAAATATTACATTCCACAATAATTTAAAAAAAAAATTTCATTCCACTAGATAGTCTATGCAAAATATTACATTCCACAAACTTTTCTTTGGAAAAATATTACATTCCACAAGATTTTCTGTGAAAAAATTTACATTCCACTAGAATTTTTTAAGTAAAAAATACATTCCACAAGATTTCGTATGTAAAATAATACATCCCACAAGTTTTACTATTCAAGGCATTACATTCCACAGCGTTTTCAACACAAAATATTGCATTCCACGCGAATTTTCTATAAAAATAGTTACATTCTGCAATCGTTTTATATAAAAACAGTAACATTTCAAAAGATTTTCTATGGAAAAAATACGTTCCACTAATTTTTATATGAAAAACATTAGGTTCTACAAGATTTTCTTTCAAAAATTCTATGTTTTAGAAGATTCTCTACGGAATATATTAGGTTCCACAGAATTTTCTACAGAAAAGTTTACATTCCACACGTTTTTATAATAGAAAATAATGCTTTCCGCAAGCTTTTCTATGAAAAAATTACGTTCCACAGATTTTTTAATGGGAAACATTAAGTTCTACAAGAGTTTCTTTTATAAAATTTTACAATCTTCTCTACGAAATATATTAGGTTCCACAGTATTTTCTGAAGAAAATATTATATTCCACAAGATTTTCTGTGGAAAACATTGCATTCCACAGGTATTTTTATAGAAAATAATGCATTCCGCAATATTTTCTATGGAAAAAATTACGTTCCACACAGTTTTTTTCACTTGAAAATAGTATTTCTTTTGCCAACATTTCCTTGTGAGACTCCCTACAGACACTGGTAGGGGGTTTTCCATTTTGTTTTGCTTTCATGTTATTGTTATTAGTTTTCCCTAATAGTTTTCCCATGCCCACATACATTGTGTGTGTGGGTGTGTGTCAATGTGTTTAAGGAGTTTATACTCTAAGTAACTGTGTACATTTTGGCTATTACACAGTTCATTTTGTTGTTGCTGTGTTCTTCCTCGTTTATTATTTATTTGTGCCATGTCTGGTCGATAACAGTGTGACAAAAATGTCAACAAACATTTTTTGAAAACTAAAATGAGGTCTCATGAAAACTCTTTAAATCGAGAAATTCTTTGAAGTTGGTGTATTGTAGACAGAAAACTGAAAAATCCTATTAATATTTCCTTGTAACATTTCTATCGTGTCCCACTGTCCATATTTGCTGTTAATAGCATTCACAACTCATGTCGCAGTGTGTGTGGGTGACTGTGTTTAGCCGGTTGGCATGTTAACCTCAAAATATACATTTTTTTTTGCAACTACTTGCCTGCTTCTGGCTGTTGTTTTTGCTATTGTCATCGTTATTGTCTTTGGCGTACAAAACAAGAAAATTGCAAGTCTATCAAAACCAGACAAGAACCAGCAAGAGAGCCAGGGAGCCAGAGAGCAGAGAAGACTGAACAGAAATGAACAACGACGAATAGAAATCATGTCGTTATGAAAATGTGTGCTATGAAATATTAAAGGATGGCTGGCAACATCTTCCCCCCTAAACACACACACACACACACATTCACACAAACCTAGAGCACATGTGGCCGTTACATTTACTCTCACTCTCCCACACTCGTATCTGGGTGAATTAACAACATGTCTTACTTTCCAATTAGTTTGATGTTTTATTTCTTTTTGTTGTTTTTCTTGTCATTTCGAACATGTTGCAGAGCCGGCATTTTGATTTAAGACTTGTTGGCCAAACCAAGAGGCTGGCAGGCAGACGCATACACATGTAAACAAAGGCAGAGTAGTAACCCAACATACCAAAATGGCTTGAGAATAATATTATAATAAGCTTATGAACATAAGCCTTAAGCTTGAGAAAATCTTGAGAAAACATTGAAAAATGTTTGTGTAACAAGTATAGAATAATCGAAACGGAACCCTTATTTATAAGCTTATACTTGAAATTGTAGAATAAGCTTACAAAAATAATATTATAATAAGCTTATTTTTGTAATAGTATATAATATTATTATTTTTTTTATTTTTAATAATTTTTCACATTTTTTTCTTGATGGACATCCCAGTAGTCACTGCCTCATGTGGCCTTGATACCCTGACGCTTTCTTCTCCCTTATTTGAACTTCTGCATCTCTTCCACTAAGACTACACATCTATTGAATTCCTTCAACTTTTTTGATGCTCCAATCTGAAATGGGATTGGAATAATTTATGTGAAAGATTCCCGGATTTATTATTCATGCATACCCTAAGGGTTAGGTCCAGAAATGGGTCCTAAATTCGCGTGACTTTGTTTTTTGCCAAAGAAAATAATTTCTTGCTGACAATTTTCACAAAAAATCAAAACTAATTTGTCAACAAGGGACAGATTTGAGAAATGTTTGTGGAACATAAGTGTTTCTCAAGCATTGTTGAAAAATTATATTTTTATAATATTGTTCTCAAGCTGTATTGTATTTTTGGTATGTTGGGAAGGTGGTCCCTTTTTTCTTTCCTTGCCACAATTGTTTAAAGGTAGGGGAATATGGGGACTACAGTGGCTGTTAGCCCCCCTTAAAATTCTATGGCGGGTTCTTTCATTTATTGGTCCAATTGGTAGTCGAACTTACACCCATTTACTATGTACTATTTTCTTCTCCCGTTGTTATTGTTCTTGTTGCATATAAATTGATCTTAAATACTTGCAATAAACTTTTGATTTTGTTTTTTTTTTGCTTTTCCTCTATAATTTAGTTTTCCTTTACAAATTATCTGAAAGGTTACACTCAAGGCGTGCTGGGAGCAACTCAAAAGGAAAAACTATGCAAGTTGGTGGCAAAAAAAAAAAAAAAAAAAAACATTAGAAGTCAAATTAAGAAAACAAAGAAAACCAAAATGAAAACAATTGGAAGTGTTTAATCAAATGACTGGTTGCCATGACGCCATTATTTTGTTTAGAACATAACTCAAATTTGTAAAGTTCAAGGTGGAAACATGTGTGCGTAAAAGGAAAATATTGGAAATTTTGTTTTCTTTAGCGAATCTGTATGGCTAGAAGAGTGCAATGAGAATCACCCGCCCAATGATAATAGTTTTGAATGTAAAATAGGAAAACTCTTC